TTCATATAAACAGAGGAAATGACTGCCTCAGGAATTCTAGTGTTAACACAGCTAGTTATAAAACATGACTTATTGATAAACAACAAATCTACTAACTTGTGAAATAGTTCCAAGTGAAGTGATTGCATTCTGGAACCTCTGATTAACCAATGTTGCTCCATCTTGGAGAATTTTCTTCCCTTGTGTTGTCAGCTGCCCCCTTGATGGGAGGGCTTCTTTGAAAGATTTGACACTGACTTTCCTAGACAATCCGGTGCCGGTTCTTGTGGCCATTTGTGACAGAGCCCCTGCACTCTTGGCTTTTCCAATTGACTTGCCATTGGCTCTGGCAGGGCTGCATCTCAGACTGTAGTGACCCACTGGGGGATAAATGTCACTGTGGACCCTTCGCATACCAGAATCCATCTACCCAGAAAAATCAATGCTTGTTATTCATGGGCGCCTTTCTTCGCTCTGCTTGAACAGCGTAATGATACGCTTAAGGATTCGTCTAGCCTTGGCCACCCAATAGTCGAATTTGGTGCCTATAAAAGGGCGTCGAAACGAAAAACTTGATGAAAATTTCCAAATTAATTTTTGACCGAAGGGTAAGTAAAAACGACTCTAAAACTTTGGCCTATTATTGAGGTAATTCTTGGCTCTTTATATTTTTTGCAACAATCGGACTATAGGCTAAAATGACGTAGGAAAGGCACTAGCCCAAACAGGTTAAAGTTAGGGGACGTAGGCTAGGAATCACCGTGAATGATGGCGTAGCAATAAAAAGGGCGCAACAAGGCTCTTCGCAACAGCAACGATTCAGTTAGCCACTCCTAGGGAAGAGGCTCAACGAGGTAAACAATCGCATTCCACTCCTCTGAAATCAAATCAGTGCGGGGATGAAACACCTGAGCCATGATTGGCCCGTTGGGCAACGTCGGCTGCTCTGGCAGTGATGCCGGATCCATATCTTTAAATCCCTCGAGTTAGCATGACATTACATTGATTTGAAAATGAATTAAGGTCGTCGTTTAAACTGTATAAAGTTATTTCTTTGGTGCTTACAGGGCGATGAGAATATATCTCTCATGACGGAAATAAAATGAGGCGCATGGGGCCATTTTGATGGCTGATTGGGTTCGTCCGGAATCACTGCTGAATATTTACGCAATCTCGTACCCATGACCGGACGAACAATGAGGCTGCAATGCGTCGTCAAATACGTCATGCGACTTTTCGAATTTCATGCTTTTTCTATCTTACTGCGTTGCATTTTTATGAGAAATCCCATCAAACAGTAGCGTTGAGGGAAGGTTCCCCTAGAGCAGGGGTCGGGAACCCTTTTAGTCACGTGAGCCATACTAATTGAGCCGAGTGCGCATAAGCGAAATAGTTTCGGAAACATTGAATTTTTCCTGAATTGGCAACAGACACGTGCATTCTTCGATGCATGAGAAAAATGAGGAACAACTATGATTTTCAGCCCTGCCTCAATGAGCCAAACTTTTCGGTTCGTGAGCCAAATTTGACTCATGAGCCATAGGTTCCTGACCGGGAGGGTCGGAGAGGTGGGGGTAAAATCTTGCGAATGTGATGACGCCAGCGAAACGTTCCACTATAAAAGCGGGCACTTTGGCCTTGAGGATATCACTATACCTCCCTGCCTAAGGCCAAGACATGTCGCACACGCTTCCTCATGTCTCTCATAGCTGTAATACATCTACTCTCGTTTATCAGAGCCACCTAGGCAGCATCGTACATACATTGCCGACAAGTTCGTTGATTTCGACAATATTCTTAGGTTCCTTTATTTCAGGGGTGTCGAACTCAAATCGGTCTACGGGCCGCATTCCTTATCCTGCAGATGCCTACGGGCCGCACCCATACTTTTTCACCGAAATTTGTTCTAGCAGTCAATCCAAGTGGAAATTTCAAGAACAGACGGCGGGCCGTATGTTTGACACCCCTGCTTGATTTCATTCACTCTCTTAGTAGCAGTTGTTATGAAGGACAGTAGCATGGATTGCATCGTCGCATCCTCAAGGAATACTTATAGGACTCTGCAGGCATGAAATATTTCCTTCCGTGAATTTCCAATATGTCTAGCCGGAGAAAATGAATGGTTTGAATTGCTTTGAAGAAAATCTATCCACAGATATGATTCTGCGTGCTCGCATCCCTTCTCCTTAGATTCCTACCATGATCGAAACGCTACAGGGCGCATGAAAAAAAATGCCGTACCAATAGAGAATCTTGCCGAAGATCCAACGCAACCTCCCGCGTTCACGTTAGGCGTCTAACGTGAGATTGTGACCATTTGACGGTCTGACGATCCATTTCAACTGATGGAGGACCGGCAGGTCTCCTCATGAGAATGGGAACAATGGCATGAAGTCATCGTAACGGNAACAACAAATCTACTAACTTGTGAAATAGTTCCAAGTGAAGTGATTGCATTCTGGAACCTCTGATTCACCAATGTTGCTCCATCTTGGAGAATTTTCTTCCCTTGTGTTGTCAGCTGCCCCCTTGATGGGAGGGCTTCCTTGAAAGATTTGACACTGACTTTCCGAGACAATCCGGTGCCGGTTCTTGTGGCCATTTGTGACAGAGCCCCTGCACTCTTGGCTTTTCCAATTGACTTGCCATTGGCTCTGGCAGGGCTGCATCTCAGACTGTAGTGACCCACTGGGGGATAAATGTCACTGTGGACCCTTCGCATACCAGAATCCATCTACCCAGAAAAATCAATGCTTGTTATTCATGGGCGCCTTTCTTCGCTCTGCTTGAACAGCGTTATGATACGCTTAAAGATTCGTCTAGCCTTGGCCACCCAATAGTCGAATTTGGTGCCTATAAAAGGGCGTCGAAACGAAAAACTTGATGAAAATTTCCAAATTAATTTTTGACAGAAGGGTAAGTAAAAACGACTCTAAAACTTTGGCCTATTATTGAGGTAATTCTTGGCTCTTTATATTTTTTGCAACAATCGGACTAAAGGCTAAAATGACGTAGGAAAGGCACTAGCCCAAACAGGTTGAAGTTAGGGGACGTAGGCTAGGAATCACCGTGAATGATGGCGTAGCAATAAAAAGGGCGCAACAAGGCTCTTCGCAACAGCAACGATTCAGTTAGCCACTCCTAGGGAAGAGGCTCAACGAGGTAAACAATCGCATTCCACTCCTCTGAAATCAAATCAGTGCGGGGATGAAACACCTGAGCCATGATTGGCCCGTTGGGCAACGTCGGCTGCTCTGGCAGTGATGCCGGATCCATATCTTTAAATCCCTCGAGTTAGCATGACATTACATTGATTTGAAAATGAATTAAGGTCGTCGTTTAAACTGTATAAAGTTATTTCTTTGGTGCTTACAGGGCGATGAGAATATATCTCTCATGACGGAAATAAAATGAGGCGCATGGGGCCATTTTGATGGCTGATTGGGTTCGTCCGGAATCACTGCTGAATATTTACGCAATCTCGTACCCATGACCGGACGAACAATGAGGCTGCAATGCGTCGTCAAATACGTCATGCGACTTTTCGAATTTCATGCTTTTTCTATCTTACTGCGTTGCATTTTTATGAGAAATCCCATCAAACAGTAGCGTTGAGGGAAGGTTCCCCTAGAGCAGGGGTCGGGAACCCTTTTAGTCACGTGAGCCATACTAATTGAGCCGAGTGCGCATAAGCGAAATAGTTTCGGAAACATTGAATTTTTCCTGAATTGGCAACAGACACGTGCATTCTTCGATGCATGAGAAAAATGAGGAACAACTATGATTTTCAGCCCTGCCTCAATGAGCCAAACTTTTCGGTTCGTGAGCCAAATTTGACTCATGAGCCATAGGTTCCTGACCGGGAGGGTCGGAGAGGTGGGGGTAAAATCTTGCGAATGTGATGACGCCAGCGAAACGTTCCACTATAAAAGCGGGCACTTTGGCCTTGAGGATATCACTATACCTCCCTGCCTAAGGCCAAGACATGTCGCACACGCTTCCTCATGTCTCTCATAGCTGTAATACATCTACTCTCGTTTATCAGAGCCACCTAGGCAGCATCGTACATACATTGCCGACAAGTTCGTTGATTTCGACAATATTCTTAGGTTCCTTTATTTCAGGGGTGTCGAACTCAAATCGGTCTACGGGCCGCATTCCTTATCCTGCAGATGCCTACGGGCCGCACCCATACTTTTTCACCGAAATTTGTTCTAATAGTCAATCCAAGTGGAAATTTCAAGAACAGACGGCGGGCCGTATGTTTGACACCCCTGCTTTATTTCATTCACTCTCTTAGTAGCAGTTGTTATGAAGGACAATAGCATGGATTGCATCGTCGCATCCTCAAGGAATACTTATAGGATTCTGCAGGCATGAAATATTTCCTTCCATGAATTTCCAATATGTCTAGCCGGAGAAAATGAATGGTTTGAATTGCTTTGAAGAAAATCTACTCACAGATATGATGTTGTGTGCTCGCATCCCTTCTCCTTAGATTCCTATCATGATCGAAACGCTATAAGGCGCTCGAAAAAGATGCCGTACGAATAGAGAATCTTGCCGAAGATCCAACGCAACCTCCTCGCAAGTGCAATCCGCAGATTGCACTCTAACACTGGTAAACTGCCAGACTGCTAGGTAAAGTTGACTACCTCCTGGCCGTCCAGAGGAGTACTCTTACCCTTGTTACTGTACTTCAGTAGCATTGCCATGACCACGAATGCTCATTGTTTAGAGGTAGAAATCCTTCGTCAGAAGCTGAAGAGAGCTCAGGAGATCATGAAGTTGAGAAAAATTATTTTCCCCCGGGTGATGCAAAAAAGGAACGGTCGTCGAAGATCTACGAGGAAATGTGTCTATGATTCAAAAACTCGTTCACCAAGGAGTATTCAGAAATACTCAATTGTGAAATGAGTTATCAAATGCAAGTACCAGTATATCCATCCATTGGCTATTGGGATCTTCATGCCTACCAGAACTCTTCTAGACTGAGACACCTGAACGGGGAAAATGCAGTGAGGGTGAACCGGGATCGTTAGGAATTGAAGTGAAAAAATTTGGAATAATGGTGACGGAAAAAATATTTTCATGACAGCTCCGATCCAATGCGAGATGGAATGACATGGAATTTAAAAAAAAACTCACACCAGACAGAAAGAGATTTTCGGTGAAAAGGACATTTTCACACGTTTCGGATTTCGCGATGTCATGGTCTTGCCCGGATTCCCATGCCAAAGGCGCGCTTCGCTACCCTGTCTACTTACACAGCATACCCAAAAGTGCGAGGCGTTCCACCCCCCCAAACGCGTTTCTGCGCAGATCTAAGAGGGGTCTCTTCCGCATACCCAAAAGTGCGAGGCGTTCCCCCCCCCCCCCCCCCCAAATGCGTTTCTGCGCAGATCTAAGAGGAGTCTCTCCGACCCCCTTTGTTCCCGACCCTTACCTTAGAGTCAATACAATGTCATCGACGTTGAAGGTCAAAGTCCAACGTTGCGTGTATATTAGGATTACCATATTTTTTTAAAAGGAAAATCCGAGACATATTCCCTCTGCTTACGGTTGACAATAGGTCGATGAGCTGCTTGCTGCAAATGAGTGGCACTGAAAGGAAAAATCGCTGGATAGTTTTCCGAGCAGGGCAGTACCTCAGAACCAGGAGCTGTTCCAGAGAAAACGGCCTGTCCCGGTTTACCGGGACGATCTGGTCACCCTAGTGTATATTATAGCAATGGTGAGACTAAATCACATTTTTGAATCATATTTATGGTAGCATCATGGAGCATGCATCGCCGAATAAGGGATACAATTTTTTTTATTCAAGAAACGACCAAGAACCTGTCTAGTGTTACCACCCCAGTAACACCAGCTATTTGCTCAATGCTGGACTAACAATGGGTACGAGGTCTATACATCTTGTCATTATTGTCAGTACTAGCTTCCCAATATTGCCATTCCATCATCGAACCAATATTGGACTGACGCGATGATCCAGAGTCCAAGTTGTACGGAGGTTTTTTTTGGGGGGGAAGAATGAGTTTTGAAGTTCTCCTCTATGCCACTAGATGTCGGTACGAGTCTCGCTTTTCGCACAGTATACAAAAGTGCACTTCCCTCTTTCCATGCAATCATCCCTCACAGAAGTGTTTCAGTGGCGTAGGGAAGGGGGGGGGGTTATGGGATCAGAACCCCCCCCCCCTCCCTTCCCTTTGGCTTCCTGGTCAGTGACAGGCATATTTCAGCCTTCCTTGGGAATTCCAGTTTTTGCTATCCCCCTTCGAGGAAAGTCCAATGTCCATCCAGAGACCCAAGATGCTAGAACACGATTTCTTCAAAATGGTAAATTCCAGGTGGTGGAGCTAAGCGTAGTGTTGGGGTGTCTACCCGGCCTCAACCCCCCCCCTTTGCCGATTTTCTGCCTGCGCCACTGAAGTGTTTAGCACCTCACCATGTGTTTTTCCTAGTCTCATTACATCAATCAATAAAATCGGACACTTGTTATTATTATCCCCATACTCGACAGAACCATGGAGCTTAGGCAATAAACAAGCTCACATCCTCCATATGAGAACTCATTGCAAGTATGTTCAGTAAGATAAGTTAATCATTCCACGTGAAACCAACACCCTGTGAAACATAACCGCCTGATTTTTATGAAATTTGGACCAAAGCTTTGTAAAACTGAGAAAGTTGGAGATCCTAAATACTTTTCTCCTCAGTCACTTGGATCTAAAGATAAGAGCATCAGAGAAAATGTTCACGTTTCAGTGAAAAAAAATCCAAATCTCACAAAGTTATTGCTAGGGTGTCCACTCATCCAGAGATATTGTGAATATACACTAGCGTCATCTATTATATTTCGGTATAAACTCTGCACACACCTCCTACAATTCCTCTCTCGCTCAGCTTCCCACCAGCATCCGCCTATCTTTCGCTGACCAGGAAGCTACTTGCCCAATTTCCTCTACGAATGTGCAACAAATTCAAAGTCACTTTCATTCGTGATAACGTATCTGAAAATTCCTGAACCTGGAAACTGTCTATTACATGGGAGTCTTATTTAAGAAGCAGGTACCTCCTTGTCCGTTTGAATCTTTCTTATGCATAATTTGGCTGCTTTAGTATTTTCATGAATGAATCAACAGACACCAAATCTACTAACATTTTGTGGTATGAGGACAGTGTTTCCAAAGACCTTAAAGAGGTATAAGATGTATCATGAGAACATTGTTACATGTTTTTTGCAGGATTTTCGATTTTTTTTTTCACTACCAAAGCAAGCTCCTGCAATTAATGACAATCTCCTAAAACATATTGTCATGACTCAAAAAAAAAGAATGACATAATTGAAAGGCTCAAATGAAGGTGTCACAGGAAGTCAAAGGTGAGAAGGGTCAATTCATCATCTGTTTGTTTTTAGCATTCCAATGATTTAATTACTGCCGATGATGATTTAATTACTGTGTTGAAGCACAGAAAGCATAAAGTAAAAAGCTTAAAAATTTCAGTTTATTACTTTTCTAAAGAAAGATGAAAAGTGAAATTATCACTCCAACCATCCTTTTTCTCATCTCTCTCATGAAATTTGCTTCCTGAAACTCAAATTTCTTTTTGGTGCATCACATGCAAATAACATCACAGTCACAGAATCACCATCTGCACAACCACCCTCAGAGCACCAAGGAAACCGATTGATGGGCGAGGACCATGGACGACTTCACCCGGTTGTGGGAGAGGTCCAAATGAACCAGGGAAGTCAACTTCAAGCACAAAATAGGGGAGAGGAGAGGAGGGTTCGGCAACACGTTCGAGGCGATCAGCCGAGTCAGTGCATCCGGATTGCACGAGTTCACGAGCCGGCGGAGGCCTTCCTCCTCGATTGGATTCCAACTCACATCCAGTTCCTTCAAGGGAGTGCCTGGAGATCAATCAATAATGAATGAATAAGACTACCCACAATTGCAAATGGATAATGGAGGTAAAAGTTGAGAACCTCGAAGAGCAGCACAGAGTCTCGACGAGAAGAACTCAGGTCCCAGGTCGCAGTCAATGAGACGGAGGATCCTCAGATGCCCGTTGCAGGTCAGCAGATTGGTCACGAGGTCACTGCCTTCCTCCCCCAGGGCATTGTAACCCAGATCCACTTCTTCCAAGGTGTTCACCTAGACAAACGTGACCATTTAGTAGGCCTTGAATGGCACTTTGGGAAAGGCAAAAGGAAGCTCGACTTACCATCGGAGTGAGAAGAGTTTCGATGTGAAATGGGACAAGTCCACAGCAATGCAAGTCCAAAAAATTCAGTTCCCTCAGCCTCCCAATCACATCTCTCCATTCCTGGCAAAGGAGTACATACATATTCAAGGTTAAATTCACAAGGTCCTGCAGTAACACCTGTAGATGAAACAACACTAACCTCAAGGGCAACCATATCCCACACTGGAGTCTTAGCAAGACAAAGACCTGTCAGATGAGGAGCCCAGTGAAGACTCGTCGTGAGAGGACGGATGGGCTTCCCGGCCAGTGGGATCCCCGACACGTCCAGGCATCCGGACATCCCCGATGCATCTAACCTCTCCATTAGCGTCACAGAAGGCACTGCAAAGATTAGAGATTATAGACTCCCAAGCACATCTCTTCAATGGCCTCCAGATCAGGCTCAGGAACCCTGGGCATGGCAGACCTTCCCAGAAGAAGTGGGTCAGGAACTTGTAGATCTCCTTCAGAGGCAGCACCATGGACGCTGCAGGACGAAGAGCAGCGCATATTTGGACCCCACGGTCTAAGAGTCCCCTGATGGTCTGCATCTCCTCAAGTGCATTACCTCCTTTGTCAGTCAGCTCCACTTCAAACTCCAAAGAATTTCCATGAGTTCTTTGAAAATAAAAAAATATATCAATACATTATTTTTCATGAAATCATGTTTTTTCTGAGTTCAATGTGAAGGATGGAAAGTATGAGATTTTACTTAAGGAGAAGTTCATTGAGATTCTGAGAGAGCCAAGAGCAAGTAGGATTCTCGCCCTGAAGAACAACAACCTTGATTTCAGTCTCATACAGCTTCACTTTCAACTCCTTCTTCGGAAACTGGAACGTGCACCAGCAGGCATGAGCAATGAGCAAGAATTATGAAGTCCATATGTACCAAGGACAACAATGAGAAAACCAACCTGCAAGGGAGCACTGATAATCGAGAAAGGAAGTTGGAGAGGAGCATGAGACAGGACAGTTGCATCACTATGATCCTATAAACCAGAAATAAATAACCAGAATTGAATGAGACTGCACCAGTGACACAACATGCTGAATGCAAAAGTCAACAAGCCTCATTGAAAGTTTGGAAGGAAGGAGCAGGAGGAGTGAGAGAGTCCTCAATTTGAAAGTCATCCCTGTCCTCACAGAGGAGAGCCTCGACTTCAGGCTCCCATGCCCTCGTCTCCCTGCTTCTTGGGACCTGGACACAAGGAGACCTTGCAGTGTCACTAGTCTGCCTCAAAAAGGAATGGTTCATACACATTCTTCTTCTTACCTTGCCCCTTCTAATTGATGGAGACACAACAGGAATCTCCTCCTCATCTGGCACCAGCCAATCTGATGGTGGCTCATCCTCTTCATTCCTCAGCTGGCTTCGTGATGCATGTCGACCCTCCTGTTTCTGCATCTGAATAGTAGATTCACCCAGTCACTTTCATGCAGCAGGTGGAACCACCCTTGATGGCTTTTGATTGGAAAATTCGATGACCAGAGACCATTGAATGCAATCAAAAGATGAATGGCCAGCATCATCACTCATATGGAGAGAGAACTATAAAACTGTAAACAATTGTAATAACAACTTCAAACTGACAGCTTGTGGAGGGACATGTTTCATCAAAGGGCTACAAAGACCACATCAAATGCAATCCTTACATTTAACCTCTCCTACTCTGAGGCCCAGTCATTTGAATGCATACAGGCCTAGGTTTTTACACGATGTGGGAACAGACTCGAGAGAGGTCCCAGACCCGAGACTTCTGCCGGTTCCGCGTGGCCATGGACTTTACGTTCCGAATGGCTTCTCGGTACAAGCTGACCCCGACTTTATTGTGCATCCTGGATCTCCTATCTCTGTGCAAACCAGCTCTCATGTCTTCGTCAGCTGTGACACCACAACGCAGGCTCCTCCCCCCCCTTCCTGAAGGACCTGCTTCACCAACCACAGCAATACCAGTCACCTCTGGGGATTTCGTCAACTCCGAGGAATCGCATCCAGCTGGAAGGAGAAGAGACAAGAATACTGATGTCTCACAGTGCCGTCAGAATGCCTCTTTAATACCATTGATAGAAAAATCCAATTCTTGTCATGAAACTATTAGCAGGTGGCAGAACTAATATTCTGTAGCATTTATCAAGCTACAAATCATGTTTCCTAAATGTCACAAGAGTCTGTTCAGTTGCAGTGCCACATCTCCTTAAGAGAAGTGGAAAAGTATTCCAAAAATAATATAAGACTTTGACTTTGACCCACCTTTCTGCATGAGGTCAATCATGCAAGATTCCAGGGCAACACATTCATTGAGTTCTGCATCAACAGGACCCTTTTCTTCCCGCCAGGCCCTCAAGCAATCGAGTGCTCTGTCACCCTGCATCAACATGGAAGAGATGAAATAACAAGATGATCCAATTGGTGCGAAGAGCTAAATTCTTGAACCATCATATCACAATGCAAAATCCTAAACCATCTGAGTCCTTCATGTCCTTGTAATGTCATCAACCATTCAAAAAAATTCAGTGACACAGTCTACATGCTGCATCCTGAAAAGGATGCATCATGTCAATTGCTGAACTCACATTAACATCCTGAACAGTAACAGAAGCGCCTCTGTCAAGGAGGATGCGAACAACATCCAGCTGTCCCCATCGGGATGCCTCGTGGAGCGGAGTGCGGCCATCACAGTCCCTCCCTCCTCTGTCGTTCATCCAGGCCCCCTTGTCCAGCAAGAGTTTCACGATCTCTGCGTGACCTTTCCATGCACTGTCATGGAGTGGGAGCCAGCCTGCCTTGTCCCGCACGTTCACCTTGTGGCCCTTTGTCCCCATTCCAAGAGCATCAAAAATATCTTTCAACCGAAGAGAAGGGGCTTATATGCTGAACAAAGTCAATTTGACCTGATCTTACTTGATTGAGGAGATTTTCCACTTGTGCCAAGTTTCCATCTTGGCAAGCCTTATGGAGCTGGGTGTTCCCATAATCATCCACCGGCTGCATGAGGCTCTTCTGCTTTCGTGCCGCCTGACGCTCTGTGGCCCTTGGCATCACCTCCTGCTCCTCCTCTGCAAATTTGGACATAATAACAGTCATCTTGTAACAACAGATGCAATGTTCAAGGTCCAGGGCCATACCTAAGTCTGATGCAGAGAGTTCCACATCAGAGTCATCCTCGATTTCCTGATCTGCTTCTTCATCTTCTTCAGAACTCTCAATCCCATGTTCCTGCCTCAAATTATTAGCTTCTGTCCTGGTCTTTCCTGAAACAAAGTCAGTCAAACAAAGTCAAAGTATAGTCTGAACTCACCATTGCAGCACTTGATCCCCTAGTCTAAAATGGAACTCACGAGCTTCCTCTGACAGTCTGAAATTCTCTTGAACGACTGAGAGGTTCTCCAGTGCTCGAACTTTCAGCTTCACATCCTTGGCAGCTTCAGCTCTCTTCACTGCTTCTTCATACAGGGGTCTGATGGCAGCATAACCATCCTTTTCCTTGCAGATGCTCAGATTCAGCAGGGTCCTGCATGCCTGGATCCACACATATTAGAACTTATCCTCCTGATGAAAACGGTTCAAGATATCTCTCTTCAGTCTTACTTCTGCAGGATTGTTCATGTGACACCGGAGTTCCTTCTCGTAGAATTCGGCAGCCTTGTCCAGCTGACCATCGTCTTTGTAGGTGAGGGCCAGGGACACATAAATGGGAGCCTTGTCTTCTTTCTCGCTCAACAGCTGGCATGAAAATAACAATAAAAACAGAGGATGAAGTGAAAAGAAAGGGCTGCTTCTAGTTTGGACTTCACAAAATCAATACAAGAGAAATCATCATGAAAATGACTTTACCTCCAGCACTTTCATATATAATTCCACAGCAATAGGATAACACTCAAGGGTGCAACAGAGATCTGCCATCTTCTCGTAGATGGCCCGTCTTTCCTTCCTCATCTCACGTTCCAGGGAGAACAGCTCTGAGTCCGCACGATAGAGTTTCACAGCTGTCATGAGGATCACATTAAATGATACAAGGGGCTATTGCAAGAGTCCACACAGGAATCATCCAGTGATATGCTCACTTATACTATAGAGGCCATGAAGTGCATGTGCATTGTGTTGCATTTGCTAACCACCTGTATGTAATGAGTTCCATATAAAATTTAAATCAAAGCCATGAGGCAAAGACCAAAGAATGATCCATGGTCCTCCGTGAACCCAGTCTGATGATACATTCTGATGTTGCTTAAACATCATGTACCAGTCACATTGACTCAATGCATGATAGACTAAAGCAAAAAAGGATTGAAGCTATAGGGGACTTCTGCATGATTCAAAGAATACAATTGGTATTAATGAGAACCATGTTTCATGAGCTATTGCCCTAGGAAACAAACTTTTCTCTCACCAACCTAAACCAAAAGAGATTTCAACAATGAAAATCAGATGATGCTGGAGAAATGATACCACAAGACTGATAAGAAGGCTACTGCAGAAAAGTTCATTGCTCAGGCACCAAAAGTAGAATTATTGACCTTGTGACTGTTTATAAAGTGAGGAAAAGTGGTAAGTATACATGGACTTGCTTCTGCTTGTACATGAATAAATAAATACCTGTAATGAAAGGAAAAGGGCTTAGATGCTTAAAACCAACTATTAATTTCTTGGACTCTTTTGCAGAGAGACCATTGGTCCCTTCAGACTCTTATCACAGCCTCCAACCATTATTACACAAGTAATAAGAGAAGTTTGTTCATGGATGGGGGTCTCTTTCAGTAACAGACCTGAACCCTATACCTTGGGCATTTGTGTTGAACTGTCATGGAATTTCACAGAGGGAAATGGTATTTGCAACGAGAGACACATAGGTTACCCGTGAAAGAAACTACGAGCAGATTGGAGATCTGCTACCACAAAATTTTCAAAGAATATTTGCCTTGACCCTCAAAAAGTACACAGATGAGAGTCTCATGCATTACCAGCTTTCAACTGCTTCTCCAGAGCCTCCCTCTTCTGGGGTGAAAGGCGAAGTTTCCTCGCAGACAGGAGGGGTTTCTTGGCGGCCCTATACTCGTGACAGCAGACGAGGACCTTAGGCAAAATAAAACATATTTCATCTCACCTCTATCATCAGGATAAAGAAATTACCTGAGAAATGACCTCACGTGTGCCTCAAGAATCAATGCATCACAGAGAGAATCGTGATCACCAAGTCCTCTGCCTAGTCTCACTGCCTCCTCCACCTGCTCGTGTGCAGGCTCGTGTTCCCCAAGTTTCTTGTAGACCGTGGCCAGGTTGTACCGGCTCCGAAAACAGTCCTCGTTCAGCAGGTATTCGCTCGATATGTCCACCGCCTGCAAAAACATCAGGAGACCATCGAGGCAACCGATCGCTCCTCTGCCAAAGAGGTCCATTTCAAAGGAAGCAAACCTCTCTCAAAAAATGAACACTTTGTTCCAGGTTCTTGGACATCTCCTCCACGATACCAAAGTTGAGCAGCAGACGACACTTCATCTGGTGCCACTCCCGGTCGGTCACCGATCCTTTCAACCTGTGAAAGTTGATCTGATCATCAAAACTCAGGGCACCTCAAACCTGCTGCAGCAAACAATGGAACATATTTCTGGTTGCCAACTCAGGATGGTACAAGGCAACCAGAAATTGGTTGACATACTTCGACAGAGCCTTGTTGCTCTCCTGGAAAGAATCTTTCGCTTTCTTGAGATGACGTTCCACGATGCCCGGGTCGATGTGAGCCGCTCTTTGTGCCAGGGTGAGGTATGTGTTCCCCAATGTAGCCAGAGCCCTCTGCTTCTCCACATCACTTCCCACTTTTTCTGACAATTCTGTCAACACAATATATTGCAAATTTCACCATATGAACAGTAGCCACATTCCTAGGCCTAAATCCAACTCCCACGAGCCCAGGCCTCGACGTAATCGCATCGAGCCCATTATAGAAGTTCGACCTAGATGCGTGAGCTGATGTTGAAGCGCTTGCTGATCGTTTCCCAGGAGAAGATGGACCTCGCCGATCTTCCTGTGGGCCACACCCTCCCCTTCCCGGTCTCCAAGGATCTCGCTCAGCTCGGCCTCTTCCTCGTGCTGTTTCAGGGCTTCGTGGTAGTGTTCCTTGCCGAGATAGAGCCTTCCCAGGACGTTGCAGATGTTCGCCGCCTCTCGAAAGTCTCCCTTGGCTTTCGCCCTCTCCTTTTCTGCCAAAAGATCTGGAAACAAAAAAATAGCAAGCCCTTAGCCATCAAATTGAGTGAAACAAGACACCTCCAAAAAGAATATCATGCTCTTGGCAAACCAATGTCATTCATTATATCTCGGCATTTGCCATCGAACCAAGAAATTCATGCGGAACTCACCCTTGATTTCCTTCAAATCGTTCTTCATTTTTTCTGCCACGGTACGAAACGTCCGCGCGCTCACAAGCAAATCGCCATGTTATCAATATGACGCCCTTCATGGTCGGCTTTGTACTGCCATGGCTTAGTTAGATAACTTCGTGTCCGTCGAATTCGCGTGCTCCACAAAAGGTCTCTCAAGCGGAGGATATATATCACTGCCAAAACCATGCCGGTGAGCCTTCCAAGCCCGAACTCGTCTGGAGTGCCTGCGCCTCGAACATCCTGGCACGATGAATTCCCTGTCACGTTTTTTTCCTCGTAGGCCTACCATTCTCAGTTCTCAAAGGGGCCCCAGGTGATCGGGAACACGGCCGTCCTCCCCTTCAAGACTCAATTCCGCGGACCTGCACCCAAGTTGGATTCCAACTCGAACGAGATGGACATCGTCGAGGAAGCCCTTTATTATTTCAAGGCGAATGTCTTCTTCCGCACCTATGAAATAAAAGTAGGCATCGTTCCAGCTCCCCATAGAATGCGTATGGTTTAGAAATAGCCCATTTATAAATAACTGTTGAGATCTTTTTGAAAATTTCTGTGCAGCTCTCATTCAGTCATGAAAGTGTTCATTTTCCCAGTTAGAGGCATTGACTCTCTGAGTGGGCTTGATTGATGAACTGTGAAATCTGTAATGGTACCTTTCGTTGTGGGAATGAGTTCCAGCCACTTAGAAGCCTTTGAAAAATATGTAATTGACATAAAACTCATTTCAGCAAAACTTCAAAGTTAAATCATACTGAATTTATTGCCTTGTTTTGAAATTCATTGCAATAGGTGTTCAATAAATCCAAATTCAACCCTGCTTCTTGAAACTGTAGAGTATAATTTAGGGATCCAACAGAACAACTTGTTTTTCTTCCATGTGCTTTTCATTTTTGGGTGGAGATAGTTCCTTTCAAGCATAAAAAAAACTCATCATCATCATTCTTTACTCATAATTTTCTCATCCTTTCAGTTAATAGAGAAAGGAAACAGGCAGAGGGAGTTGGTAACCTCTGCAGATTAATGGAGCTTTTTGTTCGCTTTGGCTGCACCTTGTAGTACTGTATCAAGTTCTTCAGTTCTGTTGATTTTTTATACTCTGAAGAGCTCAATTTAGTTTTGCATAATTTATTTTTTTGTCTTTGAAATGGTTTATAATTTTCTACAGCTTTTACATGGAATGATTGTCTGAAATCCCCACACCTTTTTTCCATAATTTTTTTGCATAGAATTTATGTCAAGCAATCAAGTTTCTTTGCTATTTCCCGACAGAGTGAAGCCGATAGACTTCTGATCTACTTAACGTTGTACATCAGCGAATGCCTCAAGGAGCTTCAGAAGTGTCCTGACAAGAATTCGGGCCAGCAGAAGATGTATGCCTTGGCCATCTCGAGGTTTGACATCCCCGGAGACCCCGGGTTCCCCCTAAATGCCGTCTATGGACGACCCGGGACGCCCCAAGAAGCAGGTCAGTTCGAAGTCTCACAGGAGGTACCCTTTCTCTCGCCCCAGAGTCGTGCTTCTCCATACTTACCTTTTTCGATTGCACGTTTGCAGACTTCATGAGGCAGTACCTGACTCAGCTCAGACAGGAGACGGGCCTCCGCCTGTGCGATCGGGTGTACTCGACCGACGACGGGCGGCCGAGCAAGTGGTGGGTGTGCTTCGCTCGCAGAAGGTTCATGGACAAAACCCTTACCTCACCAGGAACCCCTTGATGATCCCTATCACTTCGTTTCAAATTCATTTATGCTGATTTACAAATAATCCCTTGAAAATTATGTCTTTGTACTTCTTCGTGAAAAACCAAAGTGAAAAAACGCATTTCTCATCTAACTTAAGTACAGTTACTGCTTGGATATACTGAAGAGTTGATCATTGGTCATATCTATTCTGAAAACTTATCAAGTCATGAAGTTCTTTTGGAATTCAGATAAGTACAGTTTGTGATTGTTCGAATGTATGTATGAAATACTTGAATATATTGTTTTCTTATGACAGTCATCAACATGGATATTTCTTTGTAGATGTTGACATTTTTCCATGCTTCATCTGTAATTTGATGGCAGTGCCAGCCAGAAAATGGGCTGAGAGAGAAAGAGGAAAGCTCTATTTCCTTGCTGAGTTTGGACTGAGCAGAAGGCATGAGCCACTTCAAAGCTCCTAGATTCTACACACAGGCAGCAGTGGAAACACTGCGAAGTTCAATGCATGCAGTTCTCCATGTGAGGAATCCCTACTGTACACCTTAAACTTGTTTGGAAAGACCTCTGCTAGTAGCAAAAGAGAATGGCAAACTTGCAAAAAAAAAAGAACTGCAGACAGCGGCAGAAACGTGGTAGCAATTCCTTTTTAAGAAAAAATCTCTTGATCCTGTGCCTTCGTCAGCTGAAGTAGTATGCATTTTATTTTGATTGGTCACACCATTTCTCCGTGACTGCTTAAATCTCGGTACTAATATAGACTGCTATTCGATTATATTCATTATGCCAATTCCGACACGTGAAATAATGATAAAAGACTTCAGGATCTTTTTTTTTTTAGGCTTAAGTCATTTGTGGCGAAATTGCAATTCAGATCAGAAAGCTCAGAACTGTCGCACACTTAAAGTGTCAGTTTTCAGCTGATATCTGCACTAATAGGAATGTAAATGTTTCGCTTGATGGGGCATTCGTAGCCCCAGCATAACATTTAAAAAAATAAAGCTCCAGTCAACCGGAAAATGGCCCAATTCAAATGAAAACGCTGATTGAAAGTGAAATGGCAAATGAATTTTTGGCAACCCTGACCATGCCGCTAAGCAGCAGTCATGCTGTTCACTCCACGTCTATCCGTTGGTGTACTGTCGCGGATATCTGGGCTATCAGGGCTTCCTGCCCGCTTGCTCGCGCTTCCCCTCCGAGTTCCCGTTAAGTGCGTCTCTACGACATCGCCTAAGTCCATGGCGTACACAGAAGAGCATATCAAGAAAAAGTTACAGGAGGAATTCTCCCCTGAACATATTGTAAGCTTTCTTCGCTGAATTTAGCTGTGAAGTTTCAGCCCATGTCGCGTGAAAATAAAGGCCTCACCGATTACTTGAGGCAGCGCACGATAACGACTTCAGTAAAGTTCCTGCCATGATAGCCTGTCAACGGACGCTTCTGATTGTGTGGGACGTGAGGAAACATTTTAACAGGGATGGCTAATGATGAGCCGTTAGGCGTTTCCGAAACGTGAGAACAAGTCCAAGGCGAAACAAGTAGGCTAAAATCGTAGTCCATTACGTTAAACTAACGTTAGAATGAAAATACGAAATGGACCTAAAGTTTAGTTTGTCTCTATGCCAATTGAGTGGCTTCTAGATAAAAAGAAAAAAAAGGAAAGCATAATGTTTTCAATTATTTGGAATGACATCAAGGACATTTTTGGATAAGAGAATGTGAACAAGATGACCCAAGTAAGCTACAGATTTATGACAGGTGACTATTTATTAGGAAGGAACTACTTGAGCATTTGGGGCACGGGATAGGTGGATGGCGAGTAACCCATTTTTTCCTCCCAATATATATTTTTTCTGCCCTTTCATCTTAGTCCAAAATCAAGGTAGGCCTATGATGTACAAGTAAGTGACAGTGAGATCTGGTTGTTGATTATTATTGATGTTGATCATGTTGGTGACTCAATCAGACTTATAAAGGCAACTCTGATGTGAATTATGATCAAATGTTCTCACAAACAGGTCACCAGCATGTTTGAGGTTGGAAAGAAATGACTGTGTACTCCTCTTTAGTAATACAATGTATTTATTATGACAATGTTTGAAGGCATCAATAGGAATGAGGGTCTCAAAGAAAATGGATAGAGTCTAAGTGTCTGATCCATTGCCTGATTATACAATATAGAGAAAAGGCATAATTGAGGTGGGAACAAAATTGAAGAACATTGCACTACTTGAAGCCTTGCACAAAACTTCAGGCATGGTGACAAAAATTGGGTTCCACAGACTATGCTTCTATACATGACTCTTCTCTATTCTTCTTGTGTGGGCCTTTTATTCCCTTGTCTCAGGCATGCATATATTCATCAAAAGTTATTTAATCCTTGATACAAAAGTGCATCCTAGAGTTTGAATGAGTCTGTCACCTTTATGAGGAATGACCGTTTTATTTACTCTCAGTTAAGGAATGTTCTCTCTTCTATGGTAATGAATGCACATTCATTTTCTTTCCTGAATCCATTCAGGAACTCCCAAACTGTCTTGTAAGCTTTCAGTTCTTGAAAGTCTTAATTTCCAAAATGAAATATTGTTGAGAAGTTTCTAAATTCCCCGGTGGGGAAAACTTCGTGGTGAAACCAACTTCCTCAGGATTCTGTAGTGCAATGCCTGGATCAATTAATGGAGGCTCAGGAGCAGAAAAAGTGATGGCTCATAGATGATAGTTTCCTTTTTCTCTTCTAGTGCCATCAAGCAATTCAACTCTTGCTTTCCCTTTTGAACCTTCTCAACATAATCTTATTCTTCCTGGGTAGTCTGATGCAACAGTTACTTGTTGACTTGTAAGGAAGGTTCTGTTCTTGCCCTTACCCAATTGTGTAGTCTTTGGTTGTATAGTTGGAAACTTGGTCTATGGTGATTGAAGGTAGATATAGTCTTTTTTGTCTCTCTAACTGTTCATGTTGTAGGCCTACATCCATATTGTAAACAAAGTCTGCATCAGTAAATTAAAAAACTTACTAGCTCAATTTTGAAAAGTGAAGTGATTCCAAAATTTGCATGACCACAGCAGGGGAATATATTGCATTTTTGCAGAGGTATTTTGTATTTGTAAACAAATGACCCGAGTGGATGTTCATGATATTCATGTTACTTTGTTAATTTTTTTTACAATAGGCACAAGCAAGTCTTAGGCATTGTGGAATAAACATACATGTGACAAATGATGGCTGTGAAGAAGTTTCAGCATCAATTTATTGCCACAGCCTCCATAGTGAGCTTTGCTCTTGCCGTGCGGCTCATGGTCAGCACACATCCACATTCTGGACAGGGCAAGCCTCCAATGCATGGAGACTATGAGGCTCAAAGACACTGGATGGAAGTCACATACAACCTCCCACTGGCAGATTGGTACAGGAACACATCAAACAACAACCTTCTCTACTGGGGCTTGGATTACCCACCTCTAACAGCTTATCATAGCCTTGCACTGGGTCACATAGCTGCACGTGTCAATGGGAGCTTTGTCCATCTGCACAAGTCTCGAGGCATAGAGACATATGAGCATAAGGTGTTCATGAGACTCAGTGTTTTGCTGGCTGATGTTGTGACATTAGTTCCAGCCCTTCTTTCTTACTATGATGATTCAGGATATTTCTTCCTTTCTCTGTTATATCCTGGATTTATCATGATTGACTATGGTCACTTTCAGTACAATTGTGTCTCATTGGGCTTGTGCCTTGCTGCAGTCATTGGAGTGAAAAAGAATCATCACATACTGGCCTCTGTCTTCTTTAGCCTTGCCCTGAATTACAAACAGATGGAACTCTACCATGCCCTACCTTTTTTCATATTCCTTCTCCGAAGCTGTGTAGACCAGCCCAGGGGTGTTTCCAAAATTGTAAAGCTTTTAGGTTTGTCCTTAACTGTTCTGGTGACATTTGGTATGATCTGGGCCCCATTCCTCCACAATATGAATTCTGCACTGGCTGTGCTCCAACGACTCTTTCCATTCGATCGTGGTCTCTATGAAGACAAAGTTGCCAATGTTTGGTGCACTTCAAACGTGGTTATCAAGTGGAAACAGTTGTTCTCTGCAAAGTCAATGGCTACCATTTGTCTTGCATCAACTGTTGTTACCTGCATTCCAAGTGGCATTCATCTCTTTCTCCAGTCATCCTTTAAAGCATTTCTCTATAGCCTTGTGAACATGTCCTTGGCTTTTTTCCTTTTCTCGTACCATGTCCATGAGAAGAGCATCTTACTTGTTGCTATGCCTGCTCTTTTGCTATTTCAAGAGAATCCTCTGATGACAATATGGTTCCTGCAAATATCTCATTTCAGTATGTTACCTCTGTATGTGAAAGATGACCTCGTAGAGGCATACGTATCCACTGGTGTGATGTTTTTGATGGGGTGTTTCCTCATATTTGACGCAAGGAACCGGTGCTTGTTAAAAGGAGAGCAGAAGTTGACTCTGTTCACTTTTTTCCTTTCTGTGCTTGGGACAGGCCTATTGAGCATTGGTCTTCTCTGCCTGAAACCACCTGTCAAGTACCCTGATCTCTTTACTCTTGTTGTTTGTGGATATTCTTGTGCTCATTTTGTTGCATTTTTCTTCTACATGAATTGGAAACAATTGTCACTGGGAAGGTCTATCAAAGTTATGAAGACAGAATGAATGAAAAAAAAGTAATAAAACTAAGAGATTTGGTTGGTGACATTGATGCCTATTGTTAATTACTCACATGGTTTTCATTGTGTGAGTTAATTTGGTATTTTATTTATTGAATGGATCCCACATGCAAAGAAACTCTCACTCATTGCATAAAGAAAAGTTTATCTCTCTGGAGGATGTGAAGAGCATATTTTGTCTTTTTTTTTTATTAATAGGAAGTGGTTGACCAATCAGATGGCTGTGGTGCTAAATTTGAGGTGCTCATTGTGTCAGACAAGTTTGAGGGGAAACCACTTCTCCAGCGGCACAGGTGAGGCAGCTTTTCTCACCATCACTTATCCTGCTACTGCAGGCATAGGGGAAATAATGTCTCCATGGACACAGAAAGCCACAGAAAAGACTTCTTGGAATACAATCAGCTGTTCTTCAAGTAATTTTTACACCACTTTCAGTTGCTTAAGGAGAGTAATAATCTAATGTAGATATAAGCAACACTCAGGAATATCCCTAAGCTGTAATGTTATGAAAAGGTACACAAAAACATAAGAGGAAAGTGTTGAAGTCTCAAGTCATTTTGCCAAGGTCCTTTCAGGTTAGCCCCTGTTGTGATTCCATTATGATACTCCAAGTGAAAGTCTTGGCTTAGGCTTTGTTGATTCTTAGTTTTTGGCTTGAATGCTCTGAAAGTGAGCTTTTCATACCTCAGCTTCAAAGCTCAACCTAATGCCATGGCTTTGTGGTCAAAATATCAGCTAAACTTTATCATTTTGGGCAGAATCTGAAACTTCAGTTTCTTGGTTCAGTAATGGGACAATAGGGATCTGCCTTGCTTGGATGAAAAGCTATACTTGAAGCAGGGAGGGCCAGGGCTTGCAACAGACAAGCCTTAACATCCAAGACTCAAACAAGGGATGCAATTTATAACAGTTGGATATCACTCCAACAAGGAGGCTATATAGAGGATATGTGCCTGCCAATATTGGGCTAAACTTCAATAAATGTTTCTCATGTCTTGTCAGAAACCCATTTCCCAGTGATGCTCTACATGCCATTCTGTACTTTCAGCTGGTTCACTTTTGTGCATAATCACTGCCAAACTGAATGTGGCCTAAGTAAAATAGGATATTGAAAAATATTATCTATTTTCATGTTCCTGGTAGATTCTTTGAGAATTATCATGACAACCAACCATTCTTTCTGAGAAGATTGAGATATATTCAGCTTCGCCCTATCTCCAGTATGTGAGAGTTGTTTGATCTGGCCTCATAGCATTTGCAGTGGCCTTTTTCACATTTCAAAATGAGCTAGGCATTCTGTATTTTACCATTATGGGTTCATGTTTGTGAAGTCTACTATCACTAAGCAAAATGCCAGAAAGATAAGTGGGAACAATTGAAGTCTTAGGGACATGCTGCTGAAATTCAGCATTTCCAAAAACCTAACAACTTGAATGAAGAGAAGAGAATTTACTGAGGGTATTTACTATAGAGAAGGAATTTAATGTGAAGTACCAGAGATGAGTCAATCTGCTTCTTGTCACTGCCACATTCTGTTATCACTGGTCTCAAGCCTGCCTTACTCTGTGCCATGAGCATTGCAGATGGATTGCACCGTCACTGTGCAAGGAAAGGACATGATGCAAGGATCCCCTTGCCTCTAATACGTGCAGCTAGGATGGCCGAGTGGTTAAGGCGCTGGATTCAAGATCCGGTCCTCCTAGTGAGGGCGTGGGTTCGAGTCCCACTTCTAGCAGGTTTTTATTTTATTATTGCTTGCTTCCTTCTACAGTGGCTGTTCATACTAAGGGGGAAAATGTTGGATTTTTGTTGCTTCTGTTCATATGGTTCATTCATTTGATCAAGTAATGCCTCCTTCTCATTAAGAACTGACTTACCAGTCTTGAAAATTTTTCTCTTTATTTAATGAGCAACCATAGTGCAAAATGAAAGTGGTAATTTCTCTATACTCAGCTTTTACTAGAGCTTTTATGTGAACTGAAACTTTAAGGTGGCATTGTCATCATTTGGTACTGAAAATGAAAGTTCACCCACCATCCTGGCTGCACACACTTTGAGAAATTGGTTCACACTGAGTGGGCCACTTCTTCCAGAAGAGAAGAGCATCCTGATGAATGCATTAGACATCCTTGCAATTCTTTACCCATACCTGCTTAGGAAAAACAGTGTGCCTAACGACGGAGAATTGGGGTATCACTGAGGTTGGGTTCCTGTGCCCCCCTTTTAGCTGCTAAAGGACTTCAGGGGAAGGGAAAGTCGTCTGATAAGTCGTTCCTGCACTCCCGAAATGGAGTGCAGGAACCTAATACGGTCGACGCTTGATATTACGAATTTTTTTTCCCAGTTCCCAGCCGTTTGCTCACTCGCATCCATATTGAATAGCTTATTTATAAAGAAGTTCTATATAAAGAATGGTTCAGTACGACAAAGTCATTTTTTCTTCCGAAGGAAGAAAACTGTTCCGCATAACGAAGTTTAAATCTGCTGCACGCGTCAGAACTATTGAACGTCAGAACAATACTTATTCTTTCGTGCATTCCTGGAAAATTAATTTCATTCTTAAATACAGCACTTTCCCCCCACTGGTGGGCGTGGCCGTGGGGTGTAAGGGAGCGACGTCAGTCAGTGGTAATCTCACGAGGATCAGGGCCAGGTCGAGTTCCGAATTGTGTTCAGTCGAGCAATCGAAGCCTTCGACGGTGTTAGGCTGTTTTTCAAAGGCCGAGTATTGTGCCTGGAACTTTTCGAGCATTGAGTGATTTGCAGACAACCACTTGGGACTTCGTTTCTGATAAATAATATTCCAGTCCACTGCTTTTCGGTCTCCAATCTGTAGCCATTTTTTTTCTTTTTTTTTTTTTTTTAGCAGATAGGTTTGATAGTTTAGTGCGGTGTTCATTTGGCGAGGCATTCGAATGTCCAGGCGCAATTCTGTCGTTTCCTCTAGTGCCCATCTGCAGAAAGTGCGAAAAATGTGCTGAAAGTGGGATTCGAACCCACGCCCTCACTGAGGAGGACCAGATCTTAAGTCTGGCGCCTTAACCACTCGGCCATTCCAGCTGTATGAAAAGTACTGAGGCATCACGATCCACATATGCGTGCGGTGTTGCGTGGATGTGGCGTAACTATCAGTCATATAGGCTTATTCCGTGGCAATCAGACTTTCATTTCAAATCTGTGAAGCATCCTCGACTGTTCGTGTCGGAATACGCATAGGTGAAGAAAGTTCGGTTACTTAGGAACTAGGTTACCGGGGGGGGGGGGGGGGGGGGGGGGGAACAAGCTAGTGGGTGGGGGGTGGGGGGGGGGGGGGGGGGGGGGGGGGGGGGGGGGGGGTGCGATCAAGATAGTAAGACCAAGTAAGTAAAGAGGAGATAAGAAGTAGGATGGAGAGAGGGTAAAGAAGAGGGGAAAACGGAATCCACGGCAGAATAGAAGGGGTACGGGGACGACTGTTTGGATATTCGATAGGGGAGACTCCACCCCGGTTTTAGGAACACGTTCCCGCCAGTAACAGGCAAGGCCAAGGGCGGGGGGATATCGACCTTTCTGCATGCCTCTTGCACATGCGCGACGACTTCCCTTCATTATCAGTCACTTCTCGGAGACGTGGTCGTGTGCGGGACGTTGGTTATAGTCGTAGCGGTCCGCGTGCCGGGTTGGCCTGAATGCATCGTGTGGACCTTGGCCCACTACTCCAGTCCAGAGAAGTTTTTTGGACTCTTAATGGATCAAAATTTTACCTGTTTGCTGCCGATTGTTCAATCGTTATTTTAAGCGGACCGCAGTTCCCGCACTGAATCTCGTGCAGGAAGCCTAACATTTTGAATGAGGCCAAGACGATGTCATTTGTTACGTCTTCAGTAAGATGACCACACTGTCCACAATGTTGTCTGACGTTTTGGGTGGAATCTCATTGTAAGAGATGCCTCCTTGTTACCCAAACCCACAGTGTCGTCTTAAATATTTGTTATTTTTTATTGACAGCGCATGAATACTGACATCATTTGGTAGATGACCAAGTCTAGGTAGGTCCTCCACTGCATTAGAAGGAAAATGTGTATTTATCATGCATTAAATTAACAGTTTATTGATTTGATGAATAATCATTTGATCAACTAATCAAATCCTGTGACCTGTGCCAAAAAAAGTTAGAAGAAAAGCCCCATCACTCAAAATTTCACTAAATCACTAAGTTAAATTCAGCCCCTGGACCCCACTGGGAGCATATAGCCTCAGACCCTTTTGTGTATGGAGCAGGCTTGCTTGGCTAACATGGATAGGGAGCATGGAAGGTGAAGAATTTTACTGCCTTAGTGGACACACACAAGCTAGCCTGTTGTGGTGCTCAATTTGTGAGAACTCCTGCATTCCTTTCTCACTTCCACATTCAAGAGTACATTCTCCTTTCATAGCCCAGAAAGAGAAGACACTGTTCCTCCCAACTGTCACTGTTTTTGAGCACCAAATTGGCTATATCAATGACTTGTAATATTCCTGATGAATTTCTGATGGAGGGAGAGATGGAAAAAAAAAAAGGCTGTGCCTGTGCTAGGAGTGGGGATCGAACCCACGCCCTCACTGAGGAGGACCAGATCTTAAGTCTGGCGCCTTAACCACTCGGCCATCCTAGCATCGCAAAGCAACAGGCGGGAGCATTCTCGTATTCTCGTGCCGAGAGCACTATTGCTCTTCTATGGTGCAATGTCTGGAAACTCAGCTTAAAAGGTTGTGCCTAGGAGCTGGGATTGAACATATGCCCTTGTGAAGAGGCTGAGATATCAAGTCAGGGGCTTGAACCACTCGGTCATTGTAGCATCGCATGACTTATGTGTGACAATTCTTGTATTCTCTTGCCAATGGCACCACCATGGTGCAATGCTGAGAAATCTCATTGAAGTAGGTTCCACTGACAGGAAGCATAGTCACATGCAATGAGCAACCTTGAGCTGAGAGCTATTGCATTGACATGGTGCAATGCAGGGAAATCTCATGGAGGCTTGTACCAGCTGTGGGCAGCTTTATCGCATGTGATGAGCAAATCCTAGGGTCTTCATGAAAAGAGATGTCTTATGAAATTAGCATATGAGCAGGATTAATGTCTTCCTGGGAGGATTGGTAAAATGACATTAACTTGAATCTACTAGTTTTTAAATTACTTTCTATATTTCTTTAACTCTTCATCATCGAAGAATGAAGATGGCAAATTTCGTTACATTTTATGTTTGGGGACCCTGCCTCCACATCATGTCATTTTTACTCTGTGAACTGAGAAATAAAATTAAAATCCAATAGCAATTTTCTGCCATGGTCTCAATTTTGATGGAGTCAACCTCCAACTTTCAAAGTAGGGTTCCTTTGTTAAATCATGATTCACTACTCTCAGTTCCATAATTTTATTTTCTGTTGCTGGATCTCTTCAGGATGGTGAATAAGGTGCTGACAGAGGAGATGAAGTCAATCCATGCCTTCTCCCAGCAGACACTGACTCCCCAACAATGGAAAGAAAAACAGTGATGTCAGTCCTTCAGTGTACAGTGAGAAGCCCTCTCAAACTCATCCTCTCTGGGGAACATTCAGTCGTGTATGGGAAGACGGCCCTGGCTGCCAGTGTGGGGATTCATTTGACAGGGACCTTCTATCGTTTGGATGTGCCCAATTTGGAATTAGACATAGAGTTCATGGATAAGCAGTGGTCTTGGTCTGTTACATGCATCACTGAATGTTTTAGCAAGGAGGAGTCAGTGCTTACAAATTCTCCTGTGCCCCCTTCATCTCAGGACCTTGAACTGTGTCAATCAATTCTTCCTGAACCAGTGAATTTCCATGACCCCAGGTCTTTAGCACCCCTGGCATTTATCTTCCTTTACTCCAAATTGCTTCGAAATTCTGAAACTGGTCTGAGAGTGGTGATATCTCTGAAATCTCATTGGCCAGGATTGGGTAATTCTGCTGCATATGCTGTGACACTTGCTGCAGGCTTCCTATTTTTGACTGGTGTAATCAATAAGGAGCTGGATGCAGCATCTCGCAAGCTGGTGTGTGACTGGGCATATATGGCAGAGAAGATCATGCATGGGAGTCCCTCTGGAGTAGACAACACCATCTGCTCTTATGGAGGTGTCATCAAGTATATTCAGGGTGAATTTCATATGATTCCAGGAGAACATTTAGCATCTCTGCAGGTTCTCATAGTGAATTCTGGCGTGGAGAAGAATACTCGGAAACAGGTGGAAGCAGTGGCTGCTTTGAAACAGGAATTCAATCAAATTGTAGCAAAGATTCTAGAAGCAATGGATGAGATCACAATAAAGATCCTGGGTCTTGTTTCTGGAGGACTGGATTGGAAACAACTGGAGGTACAAATGTCATTATTCAATTGTAATGGTTACAAACCATGAATTATAGTTCTTTTTTGTTCATTCAGAGCTGTTGTCTAAAGTTTTATGAATGCATTGTACATATTCCACTTTTCCAGGATCTGGTTAGAATGAACCAGTGCCTTTTGTCTTCACTGGGCGTGTCTCACCCTCGCCTGGAGAGGATCCTTGAGATAGCACGTGAGCATGGGTGCAGTGGGAAGCTGACAGGAGCTGGTGGAGGTGGCTGTGCCTTTATCATTCTCCCACACCCACTTCAGAATGAGGAGCAACTTATTCAGCACCTCACCAGGGATGGGTTCGAAGTCCATCGGGCCACACTTGGGGTGCCAGGAGTTTCCATTCACTCCCAATGACATCCCCAGTACTTAGCTTGATGTCTTCAGAATCAATACTAATGTTCTAGCAGACTGACTCCCAAGCATTTGTGGTTGATGCCAAAACAACTAGATGTTCAGGGATTTGATGTTTGAAAAATAATTGTGAAGGACGCAGGAGATTTGAGAGAGGGAGCAGCAGTCCTGCTACCCTGAACATCACTGTTCTTAACTCGGGAGCACCTGAGAATGATATCAGGCTAGCCTTGCATGAAATAACCTTGAGCTACCCATATTCTTTTCACAGGCAAGCCCAAAGAATGACTGAGAATAAAAAGGTGAGCAAGTGTCTTCATTTGTTACATTTTAATTAATGTTCTTAGTGCTTCATGTTCCTTTGTTTGTTTGCAGTTTGCAAATCCAGACCTGCCTGGATATCTGGGCTTTGCCAATCTTCCAAATCAAGTACATAGAAAGTTTGTCAAGAAAGGGTTTGAGTTCACTCTTATGATTGCAGGTAAGTCTTGTCCATCACAAAGTTTCACTTCAAGTGCAGGTTCCTATATTATATATTTACCATCACTTTACATATTTCATACTTCATGCTACAAGGTGAAGCTGGACTTGGCAAGACAACTCTGGTAAACAGCCTCTTCCTCACTGATCTCTATCCTGAGCGAGTTGTTCCATCAGCAGCAGGTTGAAGTTATATCTGCACCCTTAAGTTCCCTTGTTGGCAGTCATCTCATAACCATCATTGTGCTCCCCTATTTAGAGAAGATACAAGCCACAGTGAGGATTGAAGCCTCAACTGTTGAGATTGAGGAGAGAGGTGTGAAGCTCCGCCTGACAGTGGTTGACACTCCTGGATTTGGAGATGGCATTAATAGCACTGATTGGTATGATGCATGGGATCATTCGTTCACTCATCCATCAGATGCTCAATATGCAAGTTGTAATCTTTCCATTATGCAGCTTCAAAAGCATCATCCAGTACATTGATGAACAGTTTGAGAGGTACTTGCGGGACGAGAGCGGACTAAATCGTCGCAACATCATCGACAATCGTGTTCATTGCTGCTTCTACTTCATTTCTCCTTTTGGTCATGGGTGGGCTGCTGTTTTTGGCATCCTCTTTCTGTTGTCTCTCCATGACTTGAAATCATTTTGCTGATGTCTTGTATTTGAAGGTTGAAACCTCTAGACATCGAGTTCATGCGACAACTTCATGGGAAGGTTAACATAGTGCCTGTGATTGCCAAAGCAGACACCCTAACCAAGAAGGAAGTGTTGGATCTGAAAAGAAGGGTATTGGCTGAAATTGAAGAAAATGGAATTCGCATCTACTCCATGCCCGACACAGACTCTGATGAGGATGACGACTACAGGGAACAAGTATGACTTAAATGCTTTCCCTGTAGTGCTTGAGATGATACAAAAGGTGCCTTCTCTTCACTAATTTTCCTCTCTTCTCCTTTCCAGATAAATCAGTTGAAGGCTTCCATCCCATTTGCAGTGTGTGGATCCACACAGCTGATAGAGGTTAAAGGGCAGAAGGTGAGAGGTCGTCTTTATCCTTGGGGAATAGTGGAGGTGGAGAACCCAGACCACTGTGATTTCATCAAACTGCGAGCCATGCTTGTGTGAGTGTGGCTAGTTGACAGCATCTGATCCAGTCCATCGGAGGATCTGATTAGCTTAAAATGTTTGCATGTTTTCAGGATGAACATGCAGGATCTCCAGGAAGTGACACAGGAGCTCCATTATGAGAATTATCGATCTGAGAGGCTTGCCAAAGGGACTCCACGAAAAATTGGGTATGGTTGCAACATTTTGCTTCGGTGATGATCTTTTAGGTGTCCAGTAGTGTTGATCCATTTATATTGTGACAATTGCTTTCCTCTAGTGGGGTGAATGTTGATGAGAACCTGGGCGACAAGGACCGACTGCTTAAGGAGAAGGAGGATGAGCTGAGACGCATGCAGGAGATGCTGACTCAAATGCAGACACGCATGACTGCATCATCAATATCTTCTAACCCTTGAACAGGAATACCAAAGACTCATCTTTGTGCCACGTGTCAATTTCCGCTTTGTCCTTTTCATTCATGCATTTCATCAAGGCATGTTATTTTCCACATGTGCCTTTGTTCCAGACTGTCTTCTAAATGATACCCATTAGAATGAATTACCATTTTTTATGCTTTGGAGAAAATGGCCATTTTAGAACTGCCAAAAGCTCAAGTTAAAGTCATGCTGAGTTTGTGCCATTTATCCCTCAGTGCAGAATCCATTACAAATCTGTGCACCAAAAGAATGATATGAAGCATGAATTGGAGCTCAAAAAGCCATCTGACTCCCTGGTGGTTCATTCAAGTTCAAGAGAGTTATCAGTTGGCCTTGGGAGTTAGATCCAGAGCACACAAACTGTCATTCCTCATTCATGAACACGGGTGGTTTTCCAAACACTGTATCAAGGTGTCAGCTGGGGCACAGACATCTTCATGTATTCCTCTTGCCAAAACTAGCCAATTTCCTCATTCCCTTTTTACTTTGGTGATGAGCCCCATTTGACATCCACCTCAAAAAAATGACGTATCTTTGCACCAAATTTTCAGCATATGTGCATGTACATTTCTATCTCTGGATCAAGAACTCTATAAGTCAGCCTTTAGAATCACCACAGTTTTCAAGTAAATCACTGTGATGATCAAAGTATTCATGGAATCACATTTAAAATCTCTCAATATAGAATAGCACAAAAGAATTATCAGAATAGGTCAATAATGCCAATCAGCTAATGGATTCTGTCACTTCTCATGAGATTGAGGTTTGGATGCTGACCGTTCAAGAGTTTCATCATTGAGTATGAGAATTAGAACAACCCAAAGGCATTAGTGGAACTTGCAGAAGGAAGAACCATGCACTGGAAATGCATTTTTAAATCTCTATCTGCGCTCAAAATTTGTCAATACTCTCAGCCAAAAGGTAGGTATTCAATATACTTAGTAGACAAGAGAACACACGATACACCAAGTGCAAAAGTGAAAAATGTTAGTATATTCATTAAAACTAGTCAGAAGTGCAAAAAATTTCTGTGAAAGTTTCCTTCTAATTGCTCCCCAGTTAATGGGTTAAAATGAATTCTGCCTATTTAGTTGCAAAAGCATTTTATGAGATTGAGGGCATGACAGGATAAGCTCCTACTTTTTTGCCCCAAGCCTGAGCCTCATTTTTTTTCATTAGCTTCTCATATTTTGCATGAATGTTCCATTTAGAAACATTTAGCCTCTTCACCATCTAGTCACACAAACCTGAAACGTCCATTGACATTAACATTAACATCTCTGCCCAGGTCACAGCTACCAACTGCAACAGTGTGTCCTCCAAAACAGTCAGAAAAAAGTGAAGATCTATAATAGTCATCTGGCTAGAAAATATCTGACCTTGGAATCTATACAGAATGATAAAATGTTCCTAGTTGAAACTCTAGAATTAGACATTCTTCCAAGGGTATGAGATGATACTAGTAAACAATTGCAAGCAGTACTTTTATGATTACTAATCCTGACTTCAGTTGCTGTTCAAGAGTCACATAGACTTAGCATTGACATTTCTAGCTTTTCCCTTCTTCCAAAAGTCCTAAGCCACAGAATACATCATCACTACAGACTTCCTAAGTCCCATATACATTTTATTGTCTTGTCAAGAACTTGAAAATATGAGGATTCCTTTTTTTTTGGTAGTCTGCAATAAAAAATGAAGAGATTGGGTTTGGTTATCACATGAATGCATAACATCAAATATGACCACACAAAAAAATGGCACACCACCTATCACATACTAAGGCATCTACAATCAGCCCTTATCAGGAGACCGCTTTTCTTCCTCAGTATCTAGGACATTCCGCTTAATCTCCCCCAGGTTGATCTTGTGCTCTTTGATTGCCTTCTATGGATATAAAAAAAAATTGGCACTCACAATCAGGATCTCCCAAGCATCCAATGCCCCACCACTGTGACCCACCTGGACACACTGCTGGTAGAGTTGGAAGAGTGGGGCACAGGTCTGGTCATCAGAGTCACCTTTGAGGAATTTCTCAGAGAACCACGTATTGAAGCAGGCTTCGTACTCGTGCTTCAACTTGGTGCACTCCTTCCCCACGCTGTTCATGTCTAAAGGCCTAAAGCAACAGCTGCATTCATGGCATTGTTTCTAAAAATGATCTAAACCTAGGACAGTGGTTTCCCCACGACACAAATCCATGTGCCCAGTGCATCTCATGCACTCGGGGGAGACAGAATGACCCCATCAGAACCAGGGTAGAAGACAAAACCAAAGTAGGTAAGTTCTGGCAACTCCAGAACCTTTTCATTGATTTTGGCACTTTCTCAGCAAACATTTCAATCTTGTATGAAATTCCAGCAATGAAACAAGATATTGGGGGGGGAGTCAATTTTATTGACTTTAACTACTACAGCACATTGCATAAATGGGACCAGGAATACAAAAAAAAAGACTCAGGTATGAGTACCAAATCATTTGGCGAGGAACTTCTGCACTTGTTCCAGCATCTTGATGTATAGAGACTGCTCATACAATGTACAATACTCTTGTAGTTGATCAACAAATTCGTTAGAGATTCCTCGTTCTTCCAGGAGGTTCATCAGGAGATCATACAAATACTGCAGTAAATAAAATAAAAAAATAAATTCAAGTTCAACCATTTCATGTCACCCAATATGAGCCTTAACATTTTAAGGTATTGCTCAACACCAACATGACATTTGATAATCTGTTAAATTGGAAAGGAAAGATGGCAAAAAAAACCTCAGATGGAGAAGCAAACAAAACATCTATTGCCATTTAATTAAAAAAGAAATATTGCAACTCAATGCTTTCAACACAAGCATGGCAAAAACACATCCTATTATTAGGTTCACTTTCAAAGAAGGGCACATTTCTCTGCATTCCAAGAAAAGGAGGAAGACCACAGATGCCTGTTTGAGACAGTTTCATGCCACCTGGTAAAAGAATCTTATCCTTTCCCAGCTAGCTATATTTTGGGCTTAAAGGACATTTTATTTCATCTAGAAAGACTAAGACCCCAAACAACTCATTCGCCTCTCCTCCTCCCATTCCCAACTTTTCCTGGAACTCCCCCAGACAAGTAAAATCACCTAATTATTTCAATTGTTCAAAGCATCATTCCCCCTTCTGTTTCTTTACTTCTGTTCCTCCTAGCTGTGAAGAAAGAAATATGCAATCTATGCTAATCCTCCTTTGGTCTTTAGATCTGATGCAAAGGTTATAATGCGTATTTCAATTAAAGCTCCATGTGTATCAGTTACTCCATTTCACTCCCTCTCGTTGGGTGAGGAGATAAACATTTCAAACTGGATGCAATCCATGCCTACCCTGTCTCAAGAATTTCTGACGTGAAAGCATAGAGGGAACTCACCCCATCAAGAATGTCACCAGAAACAGCATACGTCTCATCTTTAAACTCTCCCTCAAAGGAGTACACCTCGTCGATCGTGAACTTGTCCGCTGAAACATCAGTCAAAATTTCAATCACAACCTATCAAAGCTGCAGGATAAATTACATTAAGAGAACCACTTGAAACCCACAAAATTCCTCTTGTTCTGGATTATCTCCAGGTAGATCATCAGAGACGTATGCACAGGAGAAGCCAAGAGTAAGGTTCCCCTTTGTGATTTCTACGTCAAAGTTTGGCTTGGACTGCATTTCACCCTCCTCCTCTTTCTCAGGGGGTGGGTTCACATCCTCGGGTATGGCAGCATTGACTGAGTGATTTACATTGCAGTCAATGCGAATCCTAAAATTTAAAAAGTAATGCAGTTATGGAGTCCACCTACTTCCTGGTACTTGTGGACATTATCAGCTGGAAAGCTAAGGAGCTTGACCTCAATCAATTATTGAAAAAAGTAGTATGTTCATCACTTTACTTTGACTTTCTTCTTTCATTTTATTTTACTAAACCTATTCAACTTTGGGTCAATGAATTCAGTCACTTTGAAGGAAAAAAAAGTGAGCTATATGATATAGCTCATATATATTGCCTATATCCAACATTAACCCCCTTTCCCTTTGCTTTCAGATGTTCCTGTTCAACTTGTTCTTGTCTGAGAAACTCACGTTTCGCCTTGAAAGTCTTTTGTCAATTTGACTGAGGCACCATCAGTGGAGACTTTGAAAGATCCCACACTTGTAGGTAGAGATGCTGCCTTTTGTGTTTTCTTCTCAGCAGAAATTTCCTCCTTGAGGAACTTGACCAATTCCTCATCACCTATAAAATCAAAACTACGAAAGTGAATTTCTTTTTTTTGTTTCAAAAAGAAACACCCAAGGCCCAAGCACAAAATTCATTAAGTTGCAAGTCTGAATGAGCTGAAGAGAGGAGCTAATGTAAGTACACGAAAGTCGACCCGTGCACGAATTTGGACGGAATTCCGGTTCACTTCACAGACCTCACCATTATAATGACATACTGCCCTCTGTGTCTTCGTCTTCGAATCCATGTTTTAAGCAAACCTTAAAATGTGTCTCACAGAGAATGCATCGTTGTTAATCCATATAGTCAACCGGAAACAAGCTCCTTAAATTACATCATTCTTACTTTAAGTGAGGCATGCTGAGATCATGGTTACAAATGTCCCTGGTATATATTATGTTGTGGTACTTACTGGTGGCTCTAAGCATTGATGGTCGTAAATATAGTGTTCTAAGGTAACTGAAGAGCATGCTGTAAGAAATGGTTACATCATTATGTTCTTGGAATTCAATATTTTAGAGGGTCGGTTTTCTGGACCGAATCGCGGTGAGGGTCTCTGAAAGTCGATCCCTAGTCGTAGGCATAGGCAAGTGAAGCACGCGCCTAAGGTCGGGAATTCTGCATTCATATGTACAACGCCACTTCTCTAGTTGTGCTAACCGTACATGTATCTTTCCATGGGCAGACTAAGATCTATATCAAAGGCCATGGATATTCTAATCAAGTTTGACTGTCAAGCAATATCCAGCTAGTCCCCTCTTTGAACCTCCCTCCTGGAGGTACCTCTCAGGCAATTATGCTGGGAATATGCAGTTATCAAAGGCCATGGATATTCTAATCAAGTTTGACTGTCAAGCAATATCCAGCTAGTCCCCTCTTTTAACCTCCCTCCTGGAGGTACCTCTTAGGCAATTATGCTGGGAATATGCAGTCTGTCCAAAATCGGTCGTTCCTGGCTCTGCAAACCAACACTGCGAGCGGCGTGTGCGCATAGAGGCTTGCTAAGGCCTTCACGCCGGGTGGTGGATGCTTAGTGAGGCTAGGAAGCACGATCACAGGCCCGACTTTGAGGAACCGCAGGGTCTGCTTTCGCGCCGTTGGTTCGATTCATGCGTCCAAATATATTATTGCATTTCAATGCTTCTTGCTATATCATTACTAATGCTGCAAAGGCTTTCAAACTGATATTGTAGATCACAATCCAACTTTTACAGATAAACACACTCACGACCCTGCGTGAAGCATTCGTTCAGTATGGAGCCTCTCTTGTGCAGCACGTCATTGTACTAAGGAAACGGGCTCGACTTTCGCGTAATTACTATACATCACCCATAGATTTCCAGCTAATGAACCTGTAAAGAAAGTAGGCCTAAGCCAGGCACACGAAAGTGTTTCGTCCTAGACCTACTTTGTTTTCCAATTTGAAAGTAGCTGTTGGCATATAATGAGTTTCAGACTATGTTGTTATGTAACCAAAGTTTGGATTAACATAAATGACAGTTGACAGGTGAGACTGGTTCACAAATAATGGCATGAAAGCAATGTTCAGTGGTGTTACTGTAACATGTAGACCTAGGCCAAAGCCAGGTAAAATATCTCTCAAGTTTGGTGACAGAGAGAAAATGAAACCTTATACCAACAAGAAACTTCTATAAATCATGTACAATTTTGGAGGCTATACATCTGAACTGTATGAAATCAATTTTTTTGCTTTCTTTTTCATCCTCTAGCTTTCTATCTTGGTGCATCCAGACAAAAATCAAGATGATAAAGATAGAGCACAGACAGCATTTGATGGTGAGTTATTGGTTAATTTGTATGGAGATATGACTATTTTGTTAGCAATGAATTGGAATCACTGTCCCTCCAAAAGTTTCTAGGTTTCTTGAAAATGCACTAATCTGCTAGGTACTGACAAATGCCATTTCTTCCATTTGGTCCCAGCAGCTGAAACATTGTTCCATACTGGGAGACTTGATTTGATATATATATTTTTTGGCATTTATTGCTTTAAGAAAATAGCCTATTTTGGCAGTAATAAAAAGTCAGCTATTGGTCAGGTTAGATTTTTGGCAGTTCACAATTAAATTTATTTCCTTCACCCTGCATTGTCTCCTATCCAGCTGTGAACAGGGCATACAAAAACCTGGAGAGTGAAGAAACTAGACAAAAGTACTTAGACATCATTGAAGAGGCCAAAGCACGCACTGAAAACATGGTCTGCATCCCCCAGGCTTTTTGTTTGAAATATCCTTGGCTTGCTTGAAGTAGTGTCATGTGGCTATTAATGTGTTTCATAGGTACAAGAGAAAAAGAAAAAGCTAAAGCGGGAGGGCAAAAAGGACCTGCGAGTGGAGGAGGATGACCCAGAGCGATTTCGCCATGCTGTGTATGTCATGACAATGAAGATGTTTGCTGACATGGAACGGAGAAAACGGGAGCTTGAAGAGAGGGATATGGAGGAACGAAAGCGGAAACGTGAGGAGGAGATTGAAGAAGAAGAGAAGAAGAAAGTTGAGAAGGAGTTTCAAAAAAATTTTGAAGTGAGTTGAAGCTTGTGGCTTCCAGGGCTCTGGAAAGAGAAAGTCTCAGAAATAATTTTTTTCTCAGTTTCTGTTACTATCATTGGTGAAAATTCAAAATTTTAAAATTAACAGAAGGTAATTTAGTGAACTTTACTTAATTATTAGACTTTGACACATGAATGCATTGCTCTCCATCAAATGAAGACTTTCCTATGTTGATATCAAAGAATTAATGTATCTGCATTATTTTCATGAAGGATATACAAATACACATACAAATGCAAATATTATGTCTTGCAAATTGATCATGAATCTGTTCTTTATGTATCTGATGCATTGCATTTTTCTTCACTCAGCTAAGCAATAATTTTGCATTTCTTCATAAATTAGTGATAATTTCTACAGACTATTTGAAATCTAGGAAGATTATTTTAGTAGCCAAGGAATTGTATGTAAAAATGTTACAAGCATTTTTTAAATGTGGTTTTGGAATTGAAATCATCACAAAAATGCGGAAGTAGCTCTTTCATAAATATGTGAACAATAGTGAACTTGAACTATATTAACGATTAGAAGTGAGTGAACTTTCATGACTAGGTTGAAGGAATAGCTTGCTTTGTATTATATATTGTGATGTAGGCGAGGTTAACATTTTTTAATCTTGTCTTCAAATGTTGCATGAAACTGTCAACATTTTATTTTATTTGCCTGTCTTATCTATTGGAGATAGTCAAAGAGAGCCATTGGGTCAATCATGGGATTTTTTTTGAGGGACATGATTGAGGGTGGAAGTTCATGTGTTTGAACAATATGAAGGTAGGCAAATGACTAATAACAATATATAAGCTGTTCTCTTTTTGGGCAACTTTGGAATGATTTTGGTCTTAGCTGGTCTCAGCTTTAATTATTATGAGCCTCAGCAAGTAGCTATTATCCCATTTAAATATAAAAACTGAGTACTTCCCTGAGCTTCCTTAGTGAATATAGCCCTTTCTCTTCTTTCTCTATTGCTTGAGATTCCAAATTACATTAACAGCAAATTCTATATTTTGGGTAAGTGCTCTTGGCCTCCTTAGATTTAGCATACAACATATGATAGCTATTCCAGGAGTTTTGATAAGGTGATGCAATGAAGATGAAAGGGTATGTCCTACTCGCCATCATTCCAATGCTCTTTTATTTTCTTTCTGGAAGTATATCTGCATGACATTCTGGGCTGCATTGCAGTACAAATTTCTTTGTTTTTTTAATTATGGGTTCTTGACAAAGCAAGAATTTTATTGATAAGTGATTGTGGTGTGGGGCAAGTGGAAAAAATACAATTTTAGACCATTGTGCTGAACAATGATCTGATGATCATTGTTTTGGTCAAAAAGTCTTATTCAGTAATCCCTATAGCAAATTCTTGATAAGGGCAAGCCAAAGTTTGAAGAATGAACAGCTGAAGTGGGTACAGAGAGGTTTAATGGAAAGTTTCTGGGAGTGAGTATGAGATGAATGACTAATAGTATGGAAATAAGTGTCCCTCTTTATAGAGAAGACAAATGTGAATAGACAAAATTGAATAGTATTGTCTGAAACAGCATGGTATTATACAGCTTTCAATATTCAGTGTTTCCTCCTTGGCATCGCTAGAGTGAGGTGGGGCTAATCAGTCATGATGTATTCTGTTAGCTAAGATAGCCTACAGAAAACATTTGAAGCTTCAACTGGTCATGTAATTCGACTTAATATTCTGCTCAAGAGCGAAATCTGTTAATGGAGATATCTTAGCTTACAGAGTAAATCCTGACTGATTAGCCCCACTTTATCCTAAACAGCTTCTAATTGCTAATTTTCCAAAGCATAAAAAGTTGTCCAATGTTTTCTTCATTTTCCAAGATTCTCTTTTGCCACATTGGCACATCTTTCCCTTTTTGTGTCTTGTTGCTACCAGAATGATTTATTTCTATACTTTACAGAAGTTTTTTGGTGAACTGAAATTCATCTCACACTCATCAATATCCTTTCTGCAATGATCTTTCTAATATTTTCACTTCTTCCAATGTTTACAGTAACCCCATGAGCATATTTGTGAAGGTTGCACAAGCATCATGCACCACAGGAAATGTATTGCACAGATGTGGGCAATCTAATGTATTTTATCACATTAAGGAGCTTTGCTCTTCATCACCAGAAAAGAAAGATGGATGCTGTCTGATGTAAGCTACAACTATCATGTAGATCAGTAGTTCTCAAACTCTCTTTTACTCCCATAGAATGTCTGTGTACTCGGTGGTACGCAGACCACGTATTGAAAACCACTGATGTAGATCAGCCATTGCTGTCTTACCTGCCATAGGAGGACACCTTCATTTACATGAGCCCTATGCATTTGGAAACCTTTGTTGTCTATACACCCCCACTATGCAGCTACAGCAAAGTATTATAGAGAGGAAAGCACGTTAGCGATCAGCAAAGAGTATGCTTGCTTGTCACATTTGCTGAAGGCAGCGCATACCTGTGTAAGGAAGAGAGTGAATCCCTGCAAATACAATTTATGTAATAATTTTAAAACATTCTCCTCTTCTTGTTACTGAGGATTTTTACCTTTTTTGCCAGGAATCTCGGCAGGAGCGGGTGACCAGTTGGAAAGACTTCCAAGAGGGGAGCAAGAAGAAAAAGAAGAAAGTGGGAGGATTCCGACCCCCAAAGCACAAGATGGAAACCAGGTGAAAAAAAGACAAAGGACTTGTTTGATGTTATTGACCAACAAGACATCGATCTCCAGATTGTGTGACTTGCAGATGAGTGAGTCCCTCTCTTCCTGCTGGTCGTTGCACTTCTGTAGAGTCTTTTTTTTTGTCAGTGTGCCTCATTCACTGCAAAATTTGGTGAAGAAATAAAAGGCTCTATCTCTTTTTTATTTTGTACCTCTACAAGGTTTTCTTCCATTCTGAGCATTTTTCTGAGAGTCTCAAACTTTTTTTTTGCATGAAGGGGTGTTGTACAGCTCAAGGGAACTAGAAGATTATGGGGATCAGTGTGGAGTGAAGTCTTATAGTACAAGGGTGGTTCAAAAATTGTTGACCAAATAGCAGAAAGAGTCATTTACAAGCAGCAATATATTTACACTTTTTCCACATATTCACCGTTGATATCAATACCCTTTCTGCAGTGCACAGAATCCCTGCAAATATAAGTATTGTGATCTATCACCAAGTGCTGAACGGCTGCCACTGATTCTGCTGTAGTGCTGGTTGTAGGTCGTCCTGTGTTCATTATCTTGGAGACTGCTCCTGCCATGCAGAAAATCATGATCCCACCTCTCCACTGCGCTGTGAAGGAGCTTCATCTAAGTATACAGCTTCCAATTCCTGCTGGATTTGGTTACTGTTCAGCCCCTTTTTCATGAGAAATTTTATTTTATCTCTAACTTATTAATAGCTGCAATGAACATGCAAAGTGTTATGTTCAAATATTAAGGGTAATGAATCAATATGTGTTATTGCTGCTGTAAGGTTATATAGAAAGTTTCTTAATGCAAACAAGCAAAAAAAATTTTTTTAACAATTTATTTCACCCATTTGGTCAAAAATTTTTTAACCACCCTTGTACATGGTGGGCCAAAAAAATGAAGCTGATTTCAAAATGAAATTACAGGATAACCATAGAAGATAGGATAAAATCATAAAATGCATTAAGCAGGCAAATTTCAAATTTTTTTACTATTAAATAATCATTTTTTCTGCTGCATTTTCAAAATGCCTCAATTAAGTACTCAAAGAATCTTTATCATTGAGGACCATATCAAAACTCAATTACTCATTACTGATTTGTATGACTGTAGCTCTTGCACATGAATAGTACTCATTTTTTAATGCATCTCATTTTACCATAAACACGTCAGATTTGATATTGTCAAGTGCTAAAGAATTAATTAGAATTGGTCATGCTTGAATCAGTATGTCTTCTAACCTTAAAACAAGAGAGGACAGATTGTCATACCCCTAGACTGAATTCAATTTTATTCTTTTGTAAGTTTTTCAAAGAAAGTAAAAGGGAGAGAAGCTGGGAATCACATCAGGGGATCAGACAAGACTGGATTTAGGGCAGGGTGGAGGGGGTGGAGGAGGATTGTACTGTGGGGGAGGGGGCTTTGACATCACCCCATTCCTGTTCCTATGGCACTTGTCTATGTTCCTTCCCTCCTCCTTTTCCTTCTCCTTGTTCTCTTCTGAACTGTGGTAATTTGAATCCTGGTCTCCAACCTCAGGGGATCCTGCCAATAACAAAGTTCAATGCTCAAAAAAAGAATGAGATCAGTTTTCTAAATAGCCTGCAGACACACAAGGAAAACAAATAGGTATGTTGTACTTTAGGAATAGCCTTGCATATGCTGAATTGTCATAAAACTACCAATAATTCATAAGTCACCCCATGTATGTAAGCATAACATATAATGTTGGAATATGTCTTTGCAAGACAAAAAAGCAATTTTACATATTGGTAAGTGGATTTAAAAAATTAAAAAAAATCTGTGACACCAGACCTAAAACTGAGTTTTGGTAAATTAAATAGAACTGCAAAGAAAATGTAAAATCCTACTTTATTATTACATTGTGTGGTAATTGAGTTATCTCAACCTTGAGTTTGGTGCCAAAGCTGCATCTGTCCTTGTGAAAAAAGAGCACTCACTGAAATTGTCAAAGGTTGGTTTTTAAATATCCACTTATCCATATTTTAGGAGTGCAAGAATATAAACATTTTCAAACAGAAGAATGAATATTAATAAATATTCATCAACAATCATTGCTCTGCCAGGAAGAAAGGTAGACTATTGCCTCTTAAAATTTTTTAAGACTGCATATATGCTGTTTTGTCAAATCTGCAATGATGTATATGTGACTTCAAACTGAAGAATTCAAATTTGGAACTGCAAGAACATCATTGTTACAATATAAAATTGCAAACACCTCATCCACATTTGCCCCACTCCACATGGCCCACAGCAACTTCATTTTTTCCATCTGTGAAATTAATCCTCTAGGTTTTTGGTGACACCAGTGGGCAACTTCTGCCTGTACATCACCAGTTGATTGAAAATTGCCAAATGACATGCAATGATGCTCCATTAGTGGAAAGAGCCAGGTTGAGGGACTTGATTTTGCTGACTTAAATATTACCTGATGCTGAAGATCCAACACTGAAGCATCAAATGGCAAGCAGCCAGCCACTTCCATTCTATATGTAATATGCAGGCAGAAGTTACCCATAGATGACACCAACAACCTAGAGCAGTTGTCCTTGGTTTGAAGTAGTGGTTTGATAGAAGCAATTAATGTCATTCTGTTACAGGGAACCATGGAAAGGCATGTAGACTAGGTATCAACGAGTGCAATAAGCAAAATTGTGGTAACAATTTCCAAAACCTAAATTAATATTCTATATTTTCAATATCTGCATGACTTCTTTTCATCAGGGAAAGAGATTTCATTGCCAGAGAAAGGCAAAAAAAAAATAGACTGAGACCTGGTTGTGGTAGAACTGGGCTTCCACCATATCGTGTCATATAACCAGAGTCATTGTGCTCCTCCCAGTGACTTCCATGACCATAGAGGTAGGCACGTGGTGGGAGGAGGGGAGGCTGCTGGGGTGGAAGTGTTTTGCCCACATTTGGCAACTGCCTCTGGATCTCCTGATGGTGCTCAAAGTGTTCCCGCAAGGTTCTCACATTTGTCCTCATGTGGCTTAGGTAAGATGTTAGTCGGCTCAGCTCATCATCTACTGGGCGACGACCAACAATAGCAGCAGGCAACACAGCAGAAGGCTTCATGGCCATATAGATGGTCTCTCCCTCAGGAGACTCCTCCTTCCCTGTGTCATCTGCTTCATCATCATCTTCACTTTCACTGGTGTCCTTGGCTTCACTTTGGTCCTTGGGTTTGTGGTCAAGGACTTTGAGGTTCTTGGAGCCTGAAGTGTCCAGTGTGAGTCGTTCAGGAGAGCAGTAGTCATATTCAGACAACTGCTCCTCTGATTTCCTCCTGCTACCACTTCCATGTCTCTTTTCCCACTGACTGCAAGGCAAAGGAGAGAAAATAGTTTCAGCATTTTTCTAGGCCCATGGTTTCAGGAAAAACTGCTTAAATTTTGGAGGAGAAGGTGAGAATTGCCATAGATTCATGTTGGAAGAGGAGGAAAAACTGATTAATGACAAAGCAAAAATAAATATTTAGGTACTAAGTGCCCAAGTGAGATTTTGCTTGAGTCTCCTCTCCCTTCTTCATCTGCTCGCTATTGATGTCACCAACAGGGTGACATCAATAGTCTCTTTGTGAACAAGTTCTAATAAAATATTTTCTTGTTGGTGAATATATAAGGAAAAAAATTTCTTAGAGGATGTGATGTGAAAATAACTTGATTTCCAGGAACTAAAAGTAACTTAAACTTTTCTGCATGGCAGCAATAACAAAAGTCAGATCCTACAGGATAAGACAAGGAAAAGCAAGTACAGACCTAGACGACTGAAAAAATCAGGAGAGGGTGTTAAAAGTTTTGTAGTCTCTTGATTTTTGTCATGTTTCAAAAAGTCCTTCATCATATGAGGAAAGGGGGGAGTGAAGATATATGGATATTAGTGACCTGAGTCGTTGGTGGATGGTGGCAAGTTGGCTGTTGGTGTGCTGTTGGAGGGCGTAGATACGCTGGTGGAGGCGGGTCTCTGTCTGCTGTATGGAGTGGAGCACCTCCCCTCTATTCTCCTCCATCCGTGCCTCCATCCCTCGGAACAACGGTCCACAGTAACATGCTGTCCCGATTCCCACTGGACCCTGCAATGCGTGAACAAGGTATCAGAGAAGGAGTCAGTTTGAGTGAAAAACCAACGAAATATTTTTAGCGTCAAGACAAAAAAAAATCAATCTGGATACAATATAGATTAAATAACTCAAACTGGAGCTACATCGCTCTCCCAGTGATGTAGCGAAAAGTTTTATACTCCTATTGCGCGATTCTCGGAATTCTTGGAACAGAAGACACATATCGATGTGCTAGCTTTGTTACTTTCCATAATAAAATGAGTTCATGTATAACTCTCATGGAACATAGATTCTAAGGCCCGAATGCTGAAACCTCCTTTAGTTAATGGTCATTTAAGAATACATGGACTTCTATGGGGGGAAAAAGAGTTCTTTATCTCAAAGGCCCTTTTAAACATAAATGAGGTTTGTGCATTCGGGCCTAAGAACTCAAGCAATTTCATTCGGACGCTCCAAGGCTCGAAGCTGATATATGACCCTGCGTCACGCGAAATATTTAAGGTAATTTCACTCTGAACAAAAGCTGACTGGTGACGAAGGGCATTTGCAAAGAAAATCAGTCACTGGAATCTGGAAAATTATACTTTCCGTCTTCACACTGTGCCCATGAAGAGTTCTGAACTATGAGATACGCGGAAACCAGTGATTCTGAAATAATGCAGGTGATATGCCTTGTTTCTTTTCCTGCATGTTTTCAATTCTTTTCACTCGCCTCATCCTGAAATGCACCGATTGACCCAAACCCCATTCATCCCTGCTTTCTCCTTCCGAATGAGTTTTGCCCAGTTCAGAATAAATGTTGAGCTAAAAAAAAAAATTAGAGTTTCAAGCACATAACTACAACTATGTATTTATAAGTACTTTCTTTTCAAATCGTATTAGTGTCTGTATCAGATTCTGGCTTACTTGACGTTAGTTTTTGGAAATGGTGATGCTTTTGTGAATCAACGCCAAAACCTTTCCCCACCCTTTTCTAACCTTTTTGATGTTACCGGCGAGGTCAACGTAGTAGAGTTCTCCTTTCTGAAGGGGTTCCTTGGGGAGGGAGTCTAGGGCAGGGGAAGGGAAATCCCCTGGGTCGGGTGCATAGTGGCACCCATATGGACTCCACTTGGGCACTCTCCATTCTGTTCCTTTCTTGCCTCTCTCCTTCCCCTTCTCCTTGTCCTCCTCCTTTTCCTCCCTCTCCTTCCGCGGTTCTCCCGCACCTGCTCCTGCTCCCCCCTTGTGTGCCTAATTGGAATCGAAAGCAGGAACTTGAAATGAAATCAAGAAAAGGGTAATAAATGTCCAAATATCCTGACATCGGTGACATTCATTATCTACTATATGTAAACGGCAGTGGTGGGCGTCAACTACTTCAAAACCGATAAACTTCTGCAATGTAATTTCAACTAATGGAGTAGTTTACTGGGCCTGGAAGAAACCAGTTGCAACTGAATGATGACCATGGCCAGACTATTTAACTTGTTTCCAACTTATATTTTTTGTACATCTCACGGAAAGAAAAAAAATCTAATTTTCCTGTGAAAATGTTGATTTAGTGAGACTCAGACTTGGGGTAGCGTAATTCCGAAAGACTGAAGCCAGATGAATGCTTCTGCATAAGATATTTCTACGAAACAAAGGAATGTTAGAACAGACTATGAATAATAATATTAATATTTAAAAAATAGAAAAACCTATCATTTTTATTCAGAGGGACCTGATTACAAATGGAATTAAATGTACTCTCATCGCCAAATTAGCAAGACCAAGAATCTTGGCGGAACTTGGTACTCAAGCTCAGCAATGAATCATGAAATGAATTATAGTTTTCAAGGGCGTGGGATGAGTATTCACAGATATAACTTGCCATGCACTCCCAACATGAAAGGGCCAGAGAGCCGGGGGGGGGGCAGGTGAGGAGATCGGCGATATCACGAAGTTCCTTCCTCACAGCGATTGGGGGGGGGGGGGGGGGGGGGGGGGGGGGGGGGGGGGGGGAGTCGTACTAATCGCCAAAAATGAAACTCAGGAGTTTGTTGGCGAGATGTGGAAAAGGAACTGCTGTGTAGGAAAATGTTTAAAACATCCGAAGAATGAAAAAAGCACGAAATCATTGACCACTTCAATTTTCTTCTCTTCTCCTCAGAAGTCACTTCACTTTTGTGCTATCGTTGAGTACTTAACTGCTAAGCCGTGTCAATACGAAGCCTCCCAAGTTTACCTACTGTTCGAGCGCTTGATTGGCGTCAGTTAATTGGGATGCTCAACATACATCAGGCTTGTGGGAGCAAACGGCCAATTATCAATAGCCATTCATTCACATTACGTGTGTCTAGCCTTGCTATGCTGTATTTCTAGTCCTATGTGCATTCGCAATATATATATATGTATTACTCTACAAACACTGGAACATAGGACAACCTCAAAATATCTCAACTTTTTTTTACCTTCCCCCCCTTAAATTCATGAAATGTAAAGTGTCACTACTTTTGCAGTGCCTTCCATATCATAGATTGTGTACGTCATATTTCGTATGGGATGAGAGACTCCAGATCAGAAAGCAAGTGAACAACAATCCCAAAAGCATTTCCTTTACGCCATGGAAAATCAGTATTCAACGTAGTCACCAATACTCTGGTGAGTCTTCGAACAAGGAATCGGCCTCTACAGTCCCTCAGAATGCCATTTTGCGCATACCTTCTCACCTTACATGGATGTGCGAGGTCAAAAGATCGAGCGTCTGCAGACAGCAGTCACTCGATCTTTTGACATCGTAAGAGAAAAAAATTGTGTCATGCGGGCTCATGAACAATTTTGTTGAAAGTTTCGAAGATACTCATTAGTTGGATAGTTAGATATCCTGATTTCCTGTTGATATCTCTGCATGGTGCTCTCCGACCGCAGCGATGTAAATTTGAGAACTTTTTGGGGCACCTGGTGCTACATGTGATGACAATAAAATATATATATATATAAATAAATCCTTCCACGGCACCTGCCGGTATTGGAGATATGAGGGGGGATGAACCACATCCCAGACCTCATACTCGTCTTAATTNTAGATAATGAATGTCACCGATGTCAGGATATTTGGACATTTATTACCCTTTTCTTGATTTCATTTCAAGTTCCTGCTTTCGATTCCAATTAGGCACACAAGGGGGGAGCAGGAGCAGGTGCGGGAGAACCGCGGAAGGAGAGGGAGGAAAAGGAGGAGGACAAGGAGAAGGGGAAGGAGAGAGGCAAGAAAGGAACAGAATGGAGAGTGCCCAAGTGGAGTCCATATGGGTGCCACTATGCACCCGACCCAGGGGATTTCCCTTCCCCTGCCCTAGACTCCCTCCCCAAGGAACCCCTTCAGAAAGGAGAACTCTACTACGTTGACCTTGGTCTGCCGTCTTCACATCCGTCGTGTCGCAGTCGTCATCGACTATATATATATATATATATTTGTATTAGTCGTTGAGAACCAGAGTAACAACTTTTTTCAATTACTGTCAAATGTGTTTGACTGCTTGATTAGCTGGACTGGCCGAAAGTCCTACCTTGCGCAGAGTAAGCATCAAGGGCTCCCTCCGACAGTCGCTATTTGAGCTAGCTCAGGAAAAAAAAAGAAGGTATTTCTAGGGTTCCTGAGGATTGATTAAATTGAAAATTTAAAGAAATCACGGAAATATGTTAGATGTGACGTCCTGTAAATTTCCAACCTATCCCTCGTATCCCCATCGTTTTGTCTGCAGACGTGCAACATTTTCAACTTTTTGAGGAATGACATCCGGGGTATATCAGCGGGCTGCCGTTGGAGCTAGAAGAATAGCTGTAAACTAATACGAGGACTAGATTCCAACACTATAACCTGAAGAAAAAAAACAAGGTCGGGGGGGGGGGGGGGGACGAGAATTACAAGATAAATCATGTATAAATTACGTGAGACGAAACAAGCAATCATATCTTTATTTTCTAAGTAAAAGTATGCTTTTTCTTTTTCTTGGGGATTGCTTGAAATGCGTTCTCAAATTTTGGAGGATTTACCCGTCGATGAGGATGAGTCGGAGGGGGGCAGGTGAGGAGATCGGCGATATCACGAAGTTCCTTCCTCACAGCGATATCCAGAGCCGTTTCCCCTTGCTGCATCATACAAACAAAAGCAATATGTATTACAATCACTCCGGTGGTGAAAATGGTTATAAGAGAATAAATAAAAGCTTCATCGACGGTTTTAGGAACGTCGCTCCGTCGTTGACCTTTCATGGAAAAACCGCTAGTGGAAAAATCATTATACAGTATGAAATTCGTTTTTTAAATATTATAACTTAATTAAATCTGCAGGAGTCATAACGTATGAATCATTTATCAATTTATAATATTAAAAAATAACTAATTCCTCTGTTGGAATCCATAGAGTATGAAAAATACGATCTTAAATATTTTCATTAATGAACGTCGTTTGAAGATGTTGGAGTCTCCAGGAAAAAGAAGTTGCAGAGATGAGAATGCGAGAGGCTTCTGTCATCATTCCTCTTCACTGGTTTCTACTTTTTTTTTATCTAGCAAATTGATGATTTCAACGGTAGTCACGCAAGGGTTATTCGTTGAACCGTGGCATTCCCTCCTTGAGGTTGCTTTCTTTTCTTTCTTCCCCTCCTCCCCCAACCTTCCCTCCAATTCCATCTTGTGATTGCGGCGACGAAAAAAAAAACAGGGAAGGGGGAAAAATCGGATAGGTGCCGAAGACGATTTGCGGCTGTAAAACCGGGTCTCGGTCACGCCTCTCCGGCGAATGAGGGAAGATATCGATTTAAAAGGGGAAAAAAGGTCTACGAACTCTGCGAAAGCTCCTGAATCTTTATGAAAGCACCGGTAAATAATGTGAAGAAGAACCAGACCTGGTTGGACTTGGAGCGATCGGCTCCAGCCTGGAGTAGGAATCTCGACAACTTCCTCCTCCCCATCGCCGCTGAGATGTGCAATGGTGTGTCCCCATTCTGCGGACATTTTTAGAATACGTCATTTATATATCATACATATTCTTTCCTTCCTCCACGTACTCCACCGAATACGGAGGCACTGAGGCTCTCCTTTTACTTTGATTCAACAGCAATTGCGTAAGAGTTTTTTCACCGATCGGCAAAGTATTCACTCTCTCCTTTGGAATATTCTCTCATGTTTACCATTCTTCCAATCCCAATCCAATTGTATTGGATTCCAACACGTTTCATCGTGTTTGGGATAATAGATTTCTTCGGCGTCGTATTCTCTAGCTCTATGATTAATTATGATTATGTATTTATTAGATTAGAATGACTATCTGTGCGTGAATGCGAGAGGGAGAAAGTATTTATACCTTATTTTGTGCATTGACGTTGCAGCGAGCGCTGATGAGGATCCGGGTGACCCCAGCGTGCCCATATCGGCAGCTCGTATGAAGCGCAGTGTCCCCGTACTAGACGCCAACACAAAAGAAACAACAAAGTAAATATAAATATAACCGATCGATGAGAAAAGGAAAGGGATATGGATCTTTTTCGTACGTAAACTGTAGATGTAAACTGTAACTGTAGACTACCCAAATTTGTGCTTGAAGCACAAAAAAAAATAAAGCAATACTCGCTAGTATTAACAAGAAAAAGCGTGAAAAGACAAGAATACTCCTACTCCCTACTAAAAGACAATTTTTCACATGGCGAGAGATGCAGGGGGGAAAAAAAGGACAGACGGTGTTAGGGACGTCAGGGTTGGCACCGGCGAGGAGGAGGACTCTTGTGGTTTGATTATGACCCTTTTGAGCAGCCAGATGTAAAGGTGTGAATCCGGAAGCGTTCCGGATGCTTAGGTTCACCGGATCTTTCCTGGATCCGGACGCTAGTACCGACACGGACTGGCTGTATCCCTTCCACGCCGCCTCATGGAGTGCCGTGTTCCCCTATTCACAAATAAAATAAACATGGTCCAACTGAAATTATTGTACAAATTACAAAAAATAAATTAGAGTGATAGATTAATGAAATAATGAAATAACATGACACATGGCGTAAGGCGTAACCACTAGAGTCCTAATGAATGATTTCATAATTCTCTACACGATTGGCAAATCCTGTCAAGTATCGAGAAATCTTATTTCTGAGCCGCACTGGTACATCAGCGCATACTAAGCATTCCAATTAATCGAAGTCGATGAAACGCTCAAATAAATTGCGAAAGTACCTTTGGAGACTTCCCGGCGGAGCTTCGCAGTTAAGTCCTCAAAAATGAAATAATGGTGAGGAGGCTTAGGCGAATAAGGAAAATAGAACAGATGTTATCTATTTTTTATCTGTCAAGTTTTGTCAAGATTTCCTTTTGTAACACTTATCTATGATCTTGAAACGTTTCTCAATTCTTAAAGACACCATTAAAAGTTTCTGTTCTACATTTTACTAATGAACACCTCTTGCGTGCTTCTTTGGGGCGATTAATAGGACTCCCCACCCCGTTTACATTAGAGCGCCTAGCGAGTTTTTCTCCCTGAAAAATCACTCCTCGTCCTTGAAACTCTATTCGATTCCATGGCACTAATGGGGGAGTTTGGGTATCAAATTTAATCATTATCGCTCAACTCCTTGATGCTCAATTACGAACAGTGTACATATATCAGGTGGCGCAAAAAAAAGACGTCCTGTTTGACGCCTTTGAAACCGGTTGGATACAGTCTAGATTCGTAATTTTTTGTTAGCACAGTGCAAACACAACAGAGTTTGTTTTCGGAAATTTTAAGTGCCTAGGTCGCCTGAATAAAATGCACTCATTCAAACTGCATTCAGAAAATTTTAAGATGTTCATGTATGAGGTGAGTGCAGTTTCAGCAGTGCCCAAAAGATTTCTCTCTCTCGACGCCATAAAGGTTGTTTTTTGTGCGTTCTTGTCGCAGTATTTTAAATAACGAAGTGTCCTGAAACCTCTGCTGAGAAGGTAAGGCCGGAATGCGATGGTGTGTATTGAAACGAGAATAGTGAGAGTTTCCTAACAAATCGTGGACACTGTTCTGTGGGGTCTTTTCCTTCTCCTGACCATCTTCTAAAACCACCTCCTTTAACTCTTTCATGCACAAAAATTTCAGGAAAAAAAAAATCCCTTGCTGCATGTGTTTTTAATTTCAGAAAAAAATTGTAATAAGTTACATTTACTTGACATAAATTAACACAATTAACATAATCATTAAGAAATATGTTACCACTCATTCTGGTGTCAAAATAGGTGGTACATTAATTGTACCACCATGCTTCAATTTCAAAATATGGTGGTACAATTTCTGTATCACCGACCATGAAAGAGTTAACGAAGTGACTTTTCCCTTGAAAGAAACGTACTGTACATGCTGACACTGCACAATCAAGAACATCGGAATAAGAATGCAGCCATGAGAAGTAAGCTTTTAGGCGACAAATTAGACATTTCTCTAAAGCACTGCTGAAACCGTTGTAGCCCTATACGTGGGCAAGCGAAACCTCCATATTGAAGTTTCAACGACCGTTGCTCTTTAAACCAAGCAACTTGAAGATTTTCAATTTTCATGAAACATATTTTTTTTAGTGCGTTCTTTGCCACATAAAAAAGACATCTAGCATTTCTATAATAGGTATTATAAAGCGCCAAACACGCGCTTTATAGATCAAAGACGCGCTTCTTTTACGCCACCAGGTATACCAACTCCGATCTTGGCATTGAAATTCAACCTCCGTCTGATACGTGCGAATTGAAACTGACCTTCAGCCAAGAACGTTTTATTATTTAATATTTCAAGAACCGGTGAGGATTTCAGCATTGAAGGTTGAAATAATGGTACATCTAGTATGGTAGCCTGGCAAATAAGAGCTCAGCGCAATTATGAATGATACTTTTTTTTACGAGTAGCCGAATACTTGAGTTAACTGGCCTATCAACAACACTGGGCATTTACGTAACCCGTTTGGGCACGTAACAACACTGTGAATTTTTTGTGCTGGTAATCTAAGTACAGTTAAAATTGAAGCATAGGTGTGGGAACTTTTCAGAAAGTGGAAGAGAGAGGCAGTCTTCGCCTGCCCATCTCCCTGCTTGTTTCCGTTACACGTAAATCCCTGCCTTCTGATGTTCCACAAGAAAAGTGGGCTAGAAGGGACAAAAGAAAAGGAGCTCACACCAAGATAAATTTGGCGAGGGTGCAATGGTCTGAGGAGAAACTCCGTGGCTACATGACACAATGTGGGATGACAGGGACTCGATTCCCTTCCGCTCGGGACTTCCACTCAGACCCTCTCTACTTGTCTCGTGACGGTAATGGAAGCCTCATATACCGTTTCGTGCTCATTTAAGAGAGGATGGAATTCATCCGTCTCCGTATCGAGTCTTACTCTCGAAATGCAATTCCCATGTGAGGAAGTTCTCGAGAAGATGAGGTTGAGGCGGGGGGAGAGTTTCGACTCCACAGTCACTGCTACCACGTGGTAATAGCTATATCGTTCCATCGTGACAGTCCAAGGTCTCCTTGTGGAAAGAAACTCTTGGAGCTGCGGGTCCTCACTCTCTTCCCACAGGGATAGGATCAGCATACCGGGAGCGCTGATAATTTAAATCATGCAAACACGCGAACAGATCGAGTCGTCGTCAAGGAAGACGGGTACTAGGCTGACATGGCAACGCTGCATCACCGCGTCATCAGGGCACTTGTACCACGCATACCAGAACTAAAATCGGTATCCCTGGGTATACTAGTTATGGCGGCCTGCCTAAGTTCCCGTGTCTCTGTTGTGTACATAGCAGTGAATGACTTCGTACCTCTGCATCAAGTAAGCAAAAACGCGCTTTCGTCTGGTCGCGAATTTGTCTTCCCAAGTCATACCCTTTGCTAATGATGAAACAATTCTGATGGTGGAAGTACAACATCATAGCAGATCTGAGGATATATCTCATGATCAAAAGAGAGAGAGAGAGAGAAAAAAAAAAGTTCCAGAAGCTGGGAGGCATCGCGAAAAGTAGAAAGACGGGATAGAGCCAGTCTTCATGGTTCGCAGCCTGCAGTCATGAATGATCATCGTGAATCCCATCATGACCAAAAATGCCCTTATGTCAAAATACCGGATGGGGTTCCCTATCTGCCTTTTCCTCGGCAACGCCCTCGTACACGAGTACTTTTAATGAAAAAATGCCAGAATTCAATACTGCTTTCTTCAGTCGATGAGATTTGGCATGAGGCATTCATGCATTCCGCTGGTATGTCTACACCATATCTATGAGGATCACCCGAACCTGAAGGTGGGGCAACACGGGCCCTTACCCCATACTTTGGCTTAGTGGTGCAGGCCTTGTACTCTAACCTGACGACGAAGAGTTTGATTTAATAGCGTCCTTGAGTTGAGCCAAAATCATTGGTGAAGCAAGTTTTTCGCAGGGCTGACTGTTCCAAAAATTACCCGAGGGTACGAGAAGTTTTGGGGATGAAATTTGGAACCGACATAGTTCGGAGAGTTCCGTTTGAAAACGTTGAATCGTGAAGCGACAGAAACTCGAAGATGAAAAGCTGTCCGCGAGGATGAGTGGGTCTCTCGTGACGTAAGTAGCTGGTTGGCTGCCTTCCTGCTGCGAGTGTCTCTCTGCCACTTCTCGTTTACAAGGGATACAATCCCCTCAGAGCGCGGTAACATCCCATTTCACCATCTCACCTCTTTTTTATTATCAGTCCGATATACGAAAAACTAGTATTCGTGGGCTATGAAGAACTCCCTTGACTCTCTTGACCAGCAATTTCACATCAACAACAAAAAGTTTCACGTGTTTGTGTCGTTAGATAGTCGGTATCCATTAGGTCATCATCGGTGAATTATTAGATGATGTATTTCGAGCCCCTTCTTCTTCTGTTTTAAGAGACAGTTCCCATCCAGCTAATGCATGCCATGTTTCATTCCGGATGTAAAATGGTGCTGCCGAAGGACGACCGGATCGAAATCATGCCGGTACGAGTATGTCTGTTATGTCCAGACGTGGGCAGACACCATTTTGAACATATCCTTTTACTATATTGGCCAAAAAATTGATGGATTGTATGCCTGCCCTTTCTATTTTTCCTACTGGAGCTGGTTTTTGGAACAACCTGTAGAGCAAGTGAAGTTCATTGTGGTAGCTGCACGGATGAAGGCTTGAACGACCGGACTTTCTCTCTCGGGGATTCGAGAAAATGAATACGGACTCGGAGTAAGAGACTTCCGAAAACGTGGGCGAGGACTGAATGCTCCTTGTGGAGTTCTTATGCGCCTCGAGAACATCCCGAGTGCATGGAGCCAAAGCACAGTGACGAGGCGTAACGTCCGCGTCTGCCTTAGGAGAGACATCTAGTGTCGATCGAAGCTCTGGAATCTGATGACCCGATACACTCGCATTCCTTCCCAACTTCCCAGCCTTACTTCCCAGGTCCTACCGCTTCCTCGAGTTCACAAGCACTTCACTCCGGAATCACTAAGTGCATTGCTTGGAGATTTCTTTTCCTAAATCCTCCAAACTAGCTAGGCATAGAAAAAAGAAGAAAAGAATGAAGCGTTTTTTCAGCATGGCGAGAAGCATCTCCATCGTGGCGATGACTTGGCCCGACTCTTTTTCTTGCTGAATCATGCAAACTTCACTCAAGTGTTTGCTCCCTTCTCCTTCCACGCGTCCCACTTTTCTCCCCTCCTAACTGCCCTCATCAATGTTTTTCTCCTCCATCTCACGCCGAGAGATTATAATTTATACTTATCTGCATATACATACATACATACATACATATATTTTTATATGGAGAGACGAGGGCACTAAACTATTTAGCGCTTTACTTTTGCTTCATCAATTTTATAAACTTAAAAACGTAATGATCATCAGAACAAGGAGGGAACTGTAATCAGTAGTGCCCGAAGGCTGTCGGATATGGATCGGGTGGCATGTGGTGAAGGTAATAAGGTGTATAGGAACATGTGTCGGATGAAAAGACGGCATGAAGCCTTGCGGTAATATGCCAATTTTTCATCGGTCCCTTTTTCTTTTTTGCATGGCTGAATGCGAGGACGCGTCCGGCATTAATGCGACTCGTGTCGCAACCCTGTTCCGTCTATGGTGTCCACCTGTCCGTTCACATTCACATCCCCCATCCCCAATTTTTCCACCCTTTCAAGTGCTCAATGAAAAGAAAAGTTATCTATCGGGATTTATAACGGGAAAAATTGAACAAAGAGAACAATAGGGAATAATAGCGACCGACTAAACAAATACATCAAAGTACACTACCAATGCAGAAGCAGTGTGTTTTAAGAGTGTGTTTACAGGTATTGCATTTCATTCGACTTTATATTAACAGTTACAGATAGCGCGAAAAGTACGAACAATCGCGAATGAACAGTGTTCTATAAAGTCTCGTTTGAACACGAAACATTCCAAAAACAAAAGCCCCGAAGCAACGTTCGAGGCGAATAGATGTGAAGGTGAGAGGAATCGTGAAAATCCACGGAGACTTCGGGCAAAGAAATCAGGAAAGAAGTGTGAAGAACGGAATCGCGGTTACTACTTTCACGCAGTGGTAAATGAGAGAGCGAGCGGTGAGTGGGTACTTCTGTGTTGTTTTTTTTCTTCGAGCAACCCTGTCGGGAGAAAGAAAGGGCAATGGACTTGCAGACAGATGAGCCTGCAGTTTCTTCGTCTCCGTCTCTCTCTCTCTCTCTCTATTTCTCTCCCTTCCTTTCTACCATCATGTCTCCATTGAGGCATATAAGGAATTCAGGGACCAAGGGTTCATCTTTCTTTCAAAGAGGGCGTGGGGCAACCGACTGACCACCCTCTTTGACCACCCCACCCACCAAGGGTGTCAGATGTGGTTTATCCAGTGGGGAAAAGGGAGTCCCCTTCCTTCGTAAACGAACTCATTAATTTCGGGCGTCGGGGCCTTTGTAAAAATTCCTGGGTGGCCACGACAAAGGTGCACCTGAATGCGTATACGCATCCCCTCTGCTCCTCGCTCGAACCCCGTATTCTATAAGTTCTTATTCGTATTCTATAATTCTCGAAACATGCATTTCACATTCAGCACCTTGAAGGGCAAAAAGGCATTTCAATTACATGGTTTCCGAGTAATTTCCTCAAATTTAGATAAAGGCTCTGCATTTTAGTGTCTGCAGCTAATTTCAAGGGAGGTAGAAATGTAAGCAGGAACGTATCCGAGGCGGGCGAGTTATAAATGCAATCGCGAATCTACAATCTACAGTGCGTCGTGAAGTGGGTGAGCTAGTGGCACCGTCAGATGCAACAGTTACACGTAGTAGACACATGACATCTTAAGTATACAGTCACAAAGACGACGTTTGCTGTTGTGAATAGCTCCATGCAATGGCGCGCAGAGATTAGTTTTTTTTTTCTGCCGAAAAAAAAAAAAAAAAAACAGGTTTGTCTGGGATCAACGAAATTCGCCGCAGAATGCAGGAAGTACATTGTGACAATGGCATGTCGTAACGAAGGGTGTGCAAGTGCCCAGTGAAGTCGAAATGGTAAACGTCTCGAGGAACCCACCCAGTTTCTCTGATTCTCGTTGACATCCCCCTTGGAACTGTTCTACCCACTCGTCTACGCTCCAACGTGACACGATTGTTGCCATGCACTTCCTGCATTCTGCGGTGTGCTTTAATGTCCTATACACTTTCTACGACCAAAAACGAATCTCTTCTTTTCAATAGAGTAGAGGCCATATTCCCGAGATGCAATGAATCTACCGCACCTGACTGCTGCATCACATGGTGCCAATAGCCCATCGCCTTCATGCCTCACTGCAGATACGCGATTGCATTTACAACTCGCCCTTCACAGAGGCTTCCCGGAGTTCATTTCTCCCCCCCCCCCCCCCCTCCCGTATTTCAACACACCACTCTTCCCGAGCAACTTTTTGTTGCATCTTGGCCCAGGAATCTTTACACACTAGATTAACGATTTTCCCTTGTGATCTGTGTCCTTGAGAGCAATGTCTTTCTCCCGATGGAAATACTGAGAAATCTTGGAGTCCCGATAAGAGATGTTACAAATGAAGACGAAGAGGGATGGAGGGGGGAAAGAGGTAAAGAGAGAGGGAGAGAAAGGGAGGGGAGCTTGAGAAAAAGTAGGGATGCTCGCGAAGGAAAACGTGAAGAATTTCATTGGTCATGCTGAGGAAAGCCCCCTGCTGACCACCAAAAATTCCTCCCTAAAATGTCCTTTTTCTATTCTTTTTCTTTCCTTAGCTGCCCCTTCTTTTACTCTTAGTTCCTGTTTTCTCTTAACCTTCATTTTCCCCCATATTTTTTTAGCATTCTTTTCTCTTCCCTTTTCCTATAACCTCCATTCTTGTATTAATATGAAGGGAATCGACATGTAAGCGAATGTGCGCAAGAAACAGAATCGGTTGACCGAAGGCTGAAAATAGAGTCGTCTCTAATGAGCAAGGCGTTCATGAACACGAGGCGGGGCCATTCCAGGTAGAAAAAGAAAAATGGGGGCGTAGAGGTTAGGAGGAGAAAGAAAGAAAAAGACAGGACGTGTGGGCTGAAACAAGAATAATTTTTTTCTTTTCTTATTTTTCTCGGGACTGAACTGGGAGGATAATCGTAATTGCGGAGTAGCCGCTATGGATTGACCCAGTTGTGTCTGAATTTGCATTTGATGGATTGCACCCCCTCCTCCCTTTTTTCTTTTTTTCTTCCTCTCTATCTAAAGTGAGATAGAAAACAAGAGCATGAACATGACACTCCTCTCATCCGGACTCCCACAGGCGAAATTTTCAAAACACCTCGGTCGGGTGGCGAAATTCCGATGGAGCACTTGGAATAAGAAGTGTTTGGGGCTGCAATGTGAAAGCGACATCTTAGAATATCAAGTTTCGGGATTTTCCTTCGATTATGTGGATTTTTTAGTGAGTCATGTTCAGGAAATGTTGGTAGTTGAGAATTTCGCACGAAGTGATTAACTGAATCCACTGAATTTTCCACTTTGAATCTCGATGTTCGAGATAATGTTGGATGTCCAACACTCTTTCGAAAGAAATTTCTTGAAGATACCGCAAGAAAAATTTCTGAACCGGCAAAATAAAAGCTTTCGAGGTGATCCTGTGGGGAGTTTTCATTTTTTCGAGAGGGCGCGAGAATCTGGGAACAATGGAATTGGTGATTTATGATACCACATAATCCAATCTTCCGTCGGTAGGTGGAGTTCTCTGGGCGTGGACTATAAAAATGCGCTTATTATTATTTTTTTCTGCAGTCGGCCTTGGTTCAACCGCTGCATAAAATATACCTGCCGGGAAGAAGAAAACGACGTTATGTTTCTCCCATTGAAGTCAACAAATTCTGTTCCTTCTATCGGTCCAACTAATAAATTTGTGTACTCCTCGGCCCCCTCCCCCCCTCCCCTTCCCTTCCTCCCATCGAAGGCAGGAAATCTGTACGCCCTCCCTTTATGAATCACGACATTTTGTAATCACTGAGTTTTTTCATATGTTATATGTTAAGGAAACACTAGAGTATTTTTATTTGAAATTATATTCTTTGTTTATGTATTGAATATTTATTAATCTCACACGTTATATATTTCATAAAGACCTACATTCAGATCCAGTCGTTTGTCTTCGTTATTTTCGTTTATTTTATAATTAATATTTCTTACAAATGTCTGTAATGAAGTAATAAGTAGACTCACGAGTTCGTCCTGTTGGTTGAGTGGAGAGGATTGCTGGAGAAGGAGTTTGATGACCTCCACTTGACCCAGGGCCGCCGCCTTTTGCAATGGGCTCTGACCCGTCTGTCAAACACACACAAAAATTCTTTGAAATTATGCTTAATGACCGGTCCAATCACCGCGTTGCGCAACTCCGAATGGACCGGTTTTTTTTTTCTTATTGCCACTCTCACCAGGACAGTGGTGATGTCGTCGTGGCCTGAAGAGCCCGTAGAGGAACTCGTACTGCTTTCCATCAATTCTGACATTTTTTTTGTCTTGTGATCGGGGATAAAACACTCGCGGAATTCCTTTCAGACGTTGCGACAGACGAGATTCTTCTCCTCCCTTTCTAAATTATTTCTCTATTGAAGACGGCGGATGCCATTCAACGGATTCCTCGAAAAATACTCAAGACTCCATTCTAGTCCGATAGACGATTTTATGCTAATTATTCTTATTTGCCGTAGCAAAGGAGGAAAGGATAAGAGACAATGATCCGGTCGTCCTTGTGCTTTCTCTAGAGTAAGGCACGGGGTCTCCCCGGTTCTTTCCACTTCGATTCAGGCCAAGAATTTCCTCTGCATCGATTCTCTAGCTTCTTTCTTCCCATTAAAGCGGAAGAAAGGTTGGACACGTTTCTTGAAATGAACACATCAGTGCACGCAAGGCAGCAGGACCATGAAATGAAACGCAAGAAAAGGAAGAAAAAAGATATAGAGGAAAATATTGAATGCAATGAAATAAGACCGATTTGAGTTTAAATGAAAAATATAAATAATTAAGTTATGAAGCGAACTAATGCGACCTATTATCACGTAAAAAAAAATATATATATATATATATATATCAATGAATTAAGAAAATTAAACCAAGCAATAACATAAAATAAATAATAAAATGACACCAAACCACCTCCCAAACAAGGTCTGTGATGTGACGAATAGAAACGTGTTAGAAAAAAAAAAAACAACTTCCCGGTGAGGAGTATCTCCAATGGAAGTGACAACATGGGAGTCACGCGCGGGGACAATTGCGAAACGGAGAAAATAAATATTCGGCGCGGGATTACCGGCATATTATAATTATTGTCAGGAAGAGAGAGAGAGAGAGAGCGTGAGTCGCATATGGAAACAAGAGAAAGTGTGAAACGCACTCACCCGACCCCTCTAATCCCCGGCACATTAGGATAATAAATAAATAAAAGAAATTTAAGGAAAGGCTTTATAGACACAGGCAGACACGACACGACATACACACGCGGGATTTTGCATTGCAAATGTGGAAACCTTCATCCCGATCCACGCCCTCTAACCCAGATTTTTTTCCCATTTCATTTCAGTCCTTATCGAGAAGGGAAACGGAACAAAAAAACAATGGGATTGTCACCTGTGTCGCCTGGCAGGGACAATAGGGGGAAAAATGGAGCCGCCAGAAATTCGAACATGCTTCACTCTATAGAACAGCGTCTCCCTTGTATCACCTGACACGGATTGTCTCATATCACCCTAATAAATTTTGACTCCCGAGACAGAACAACAACAAAATGCCAACAAGTCTCGGCTTGCCGTCCCGTTTCGAATTTTTCCTTGAACGTTTGACTCCAAAATGACAGAAAATGATTGCCTGGAGTTGAGTTGCAAATGCTCATGGGACGTCCAGTATGCAGGGACGGACGACATCCCTGTCATGTACCCATAGGAAAGACGAGCTTCCGTGAAGAACGACTGTCCCGAACGACCCTCTTTTTTTCCAAGGGAGAAAACCATGCCTGAACATTTGTTTTATTCTCAAGGACGAACGGGTTTCCATGGATGGCCAGTCGGACCATACCGGTGTCTTGGCTTCGTATTTTCCTTTATCTTACTACAGTCGACTCCGCATGTTGGAATACTGCATGATGGAAAATTGCTTAATAGAATATTCCGCTTAATGGAATACCATTGCACGATCCCGACTTACGGTACGATATAGCAGATAGTTTCGGTTATTGGAATACTCCGAATTATAGAATAAAGTTTGCTGGTCCCGTGGGTATTTCAATATGCCGAGTCAACAGTATATCGGATGGCGCAAAAAAAAGCGTCCCGTTTGACGCTTTATAAAACCCGCTGCGGATGATCTAGGTTCGTGATGTTTTCGTATCACATTGGAAGCACCACAAAATGTGTTTTCTGAAAGTTTCATGGACCTAGGTTGTCGGAGTAAAAATTGAGAGTCGTTCAATGTGAAGTCATAAAATGTACCTTTCTGCGCATGAGGAGGATGGAGTTTCAGTACTGTTCGAGTTATTTCTCTCCCTTGACACCAGAAATGCATCTTTTTATGCCAGTTCTCATCGTAATATTCTGCGTAGTATCGATTCTGATGCTACGATGTATAATAGCAGTACTATTCTACGATGTGCAGAATACTACGACAAGGACATGGCGTAAAAAGCAGTCTTTATGGCGTCATGTGAGAGAAATCATTTAAGCAGTGCTAAAACTCCATCCACTTCATGCACGGAAAAGATACATTTTATGACTCCACTTTGAACGACTGCCAATTTTTATTCCGACAACCTAGGTCCATGAAATTTTCAGAAAATTTTTGGGGTGTTTCCAATGTGATACGAAAACATCACAAACCTAGATCATCCACAGCGGCTTTTGTCAGGCGTCAAACAGGACGCGATTTTTTTTTTTACGCCACCCGAAATATATTTTTTCATTCACAAATCTGCCTCATCACTGAATGAATTAAATTTGCTATTCAGGGAGAGGGAAGGACAGTTCGAATTTTCCCCCGCACTAGGGGCACGTGTTCTAGGAGTAAAAATGTATTGGCTGCTCTGGGTACATTAAAATGACCTAGAGATGAGGGTTTTTTTCTCACTTATTTCGTGTAAAGAGCAATTCGTGTGATAGCGAAGTGCTTATATTACTTATTGATCCATATCTTACGATAGTTTCTGGCCCGCTCGTATCTTCATCTCATCATTCTGCGGATTTTAAATATTTTGCTTTAATGAGTTTGCGATTGCCCCTTTTTTTTGCGTTCATATCCAAGAGGGCCCCTTGCACCATCTTGACCACTTTTTCCTTCGTCTGCACGTGTGGACAAATTGCAATAACAAATTAAATACATTTTCTGTGAGGTGGTTATTAAAAAAATGCTTTCCAGAATGAGGGATGATAAGCGGTTGCAACTTCATTATCTAAAAGTGTGTTGCGAGGGTGGAGATCGCCTGTTGATTGCGTGCCCTTGAGGCATCCGAGACCCCCATGCGAGAAGGCCAGGGAATAAAGGTCAACGGTCAAAAATTCCCCTCTTCATATCCTCTACTTCCCTTCTCTAAATTTTTTTTGTAAGTTGTTCCCCCTTGTGGTTTGGAGAGACGTGACTGATTTGTGGGTCAGCGGTTCCACGATTTTTCCCCTCCGTCGTAAAGGTCATCTTCAATTGACCTTCCTCGTAATGGACTGTCAGGATTTTTGTCACTTCCAGCCGATTTTCCTCAGAGATCATTAAATCTCACTTTTATTTATGATTTGTCGCTCGAGGACACTCGTGTTGGCACAGTAGGTGGTAGGGTAAAATACCCAGTGATGGGTCACAGCACATAAAAATTAAAAAAAAACTAAGCTTCCATAGCACGCATACCCCTGCAGTTTCATAGGCTAGCAACATGCAAGCATATACACGCTTCAGAGATGTTCATGCTACAAATGCCTAGTTTTTGGAATTTTCTTGCGTCGCGGCCCATCACTGAGTACACGTCCTTAACAAGCCCTTCATTGGGTATTTTACCCTAATTGTCCCTGGCATTTAGTTTTCAATGCAGAGACTCTTTTCAAGAATGTCGGCATATTCTGTGCCGGTACATCGGGACGATATGAGATGCCATTCTAAGAAAATGAGCATGTTCTGCATTAGTACTTGAAATCCTTACCACTGAAAGAAACCACCCTTGATGCTCTTCGGAGTTGAGGAAAAAAAAGCTACCCGAGATGAAACCACAAATACTAAATAAGCTATACTGAAGTTTTTTCCAAGTGGGCATTTTCCCCGAGACCGTTACTCTCCATATATTTTAAAAGGGGAATCTTGCCCAGAAAGACTTTACTGCAAATGGCGATATATAGTGTATAACTGATGTGAAATCGTGCAATATCTTTCTCAGCCCCGTGATGGCTTTCGGCTTTCCATCTCCCGATCTTTTCATGCTTTTCAAAAATCGTGCAAAGGGCAGGAATGTAGAAAAAAAAAGATCGAAAAAACGGAAACTGACGAAGTCGGTGGTGTTGACGTCGGCGCCGAGTTTGATGAGAGCCTCCACGGTCTCCACATGTCCGTGCTCAGACGCCACGTGCAACGCCGTCCTCCCATCCTGCTCCAGCGTCAGATCAATACAACAAATATTAAACACTAAAATTAAGTCACCTTGAAATGAAAATCACAATACGGTATGCCATTTTAACGAAATCAAATATGCATGATGTCGAACTGAATTGACACATGGCAAGAAAAATTATACGATAAAGTATCTATGTAAATCAAATGCGCAACAAATATATATTGATTTTAAAAAAGACCATTAAAAAATTTGAAATATAAATTTTAAAGAGAGGGTACAGCAGAACAGAAAATATTGCACAAAAAAAGAATGATTCCAAAGAAAGAAACCCAAGGAGACAGACGTATACAGATAGAGACAAGGAGGTGTGTAATTTTCTCGCCATTACAAACGATCCCGATGACGTCCTAATGACCATCCCGTGTGTGTATTTGTTCAGTTTTTTCCCGAGGTCAAAACCTCTCTCCTCGGGCCAATGCACTCTCTTTCGGATGGCTACTATATCCCTTTCTTCGCAACCGATATTCAGCTTTAAAAAGGACAGAAAGGCATGCTTCCAAATAATAATTTAAAAATCAGAAGTGGTGTTCCAAGAAACTCCCATCAGTCGGGTAGGCTTTTAAAAGACAGGGCGGGATTTTAAAAATAAACTGGGTCTTTTCCCAAGCCCAGCGTGAGAGAAACCTAGATCCCATTCCTTTTTTCGCGACACTTCCTTTCCCCCCCCCCCCCCCCCACCCCCCTTTATTTCAGGACGAACTCTTACTGAGTTAGAGGAAATATTCAAGAAGATAAGGTGGCACTCTCGCCAGTCACGCCCGTGTTCACGGTGGACCAACAGGGAAACGGATGTGACGTCACGTAACAGAGCTGCCCCCACAGATCGGATTTCCGGAAAATTATTTTATTTCCGAACCGAGAATCCTCATTTCCATTCGAGAGATGGGATGGGGTTCATACTGATATGCAAGGTTTGGTGAACAGGATGAACTCGTGCGATAGGGCAACCATGCATAAAAAAAAACTCCCCTCTTTAAATTTCCACTGAAAATCCCGGGCAACTGTTCTCTTATCGATAGGGAAAATAAAAGAAAAGCGTATGGGGTGGAAGTCTCCTCGATGGCTATCTCGAAGGCCTTCTAGCGTTATCCAGTCAGACAACCGGATTCCACCCCCTGAAGGTTAAAGAAGAAGATGTAATAGCCTGCCCATTCTCTTCTTTCACGGGGACTCTTTCAACCGTGAAAAGGGAAAAAGAAAAATCTCGGCCTTTTTTGTCTCCACGCTTCGAGGCCCGTCGATTGTTATGGGTGATTCCAAATCTCCATGTCCCACATAAAGCGACAAAGACGAAAAAAAGTTTGTTAGCTTCCGCTCTCTCCCTATTTATTTAATATACGCTTGTATTCATCGTTGGTGAAAGGTTGCGAT